TTGAGGACTCGCTGTAAACAGAAAGAAAACATACCATTAGAGGGAGCCACTCAAAATGGCTATCAGTTTATTTTTAACATGCATCTCATGAAGGGAGAAAAAGGTACTACTGGTCTAAATAGTGACAAACATCTGGTCATGTGTACGTTTCTACCCTTTTTATTGTTATTATAAACAATGCCACTCCAGATATTGAAGTATATGAACCTAAAACACTTGATCTACAAAATGGCCGGTAATCCATTGCCTAAAACATTATTGAACATCGTAGAGAACACAAATAAAATATCTAATTGGATTGTGTGAAGGGGACTGGCAGTAGTGGCACATGTAGCCAGTACTGTTAATTTACCTCCATTTTTTTCTAGCACAAAAGAAATATCATTACTCTAAAAAGAGAAGAGCAGGACAATGATTTGTGCATCTTATCATGTTTAAACAGACCATGTTGTAAAAATGTCTAAGACATTATTGAGTTTACCATGTCATAACAAATATTTAATTGACTTTTCAAATCAAAAAGGAAAGCTTCCCAAAGCAGAACCAATACGTACTACTTCCAGTTGGGGGCCAGTACTCTCTTGGTCTTGTAGTAACGGGCCAGCCTGTGAATCCTGCTCTCGGTGAGAATCAGGCGGAACTTGGCATCCTTGTCCTGCAAGAATAATAACAAAATGAGTGTGAAGTGCAACAAACCTTTTAAATGTACATACACCCAACTCGAGCCATTTTACTGCCTATAGCAAGAGCACATTCACTGATGATGCAGGTTTCTTTGCATCTTATTCGTTAAGCACTATATGTTAAAGCCTAGTGCTGAATTTCACAAAAAAAAAAGAATTGAATCACAATGTCAATTACATTTGAATACAGTCAGAACAGCCTGCTTATGCAAGTTGTGCAAAACATTAAGAGGCAGGTGTATATTACAGATCAGAATATATCACAAGTTATTTTGTGGCCTGCTCACTCAAGAGCATCACTTGTATGCTAGGGGTGTACATCCAAAGCACTTAGACGATGTTACATAGAGTGATAAAACACTGACTTTCTAAGCCTCAGGGTAACGGCAGCAAAGTACAACAAATGCCACTCTAAAACCTGTCCTGGGCCTAGTTCTTTTTATACCTTTCTGTTCCTCTCCAGATGCTTCCTGATGGCCACAGCCTTCTTGATAAGGTGGTAGAGATCCTCGGGCAGATCAGGGGCCAGACCTTTGGTCTTGAGGATCCTCAGAATCTTGTTTCCGGTGACGAAACGCACCTGGGCAACACCATGGGAATCCCTCAGAATAACACCTGGACAAGACAAGAAACACGCTTTAAACTTAGACACCGTGTGTTGCTGACAGACCGTTTGCTTAAAGCTTTGTCAGGCCTCTGAGAACAGATGGAATCACACAATTAGGCAAAAGCAAAACTTGGGAGGATCATCTGACTTCTCCATCTGAATTTAGGCAGCTGTAAAAATGTTTACAGATTATAACAATAAAATGTAGCTGGTGCCTTGCTAAAATAAAATCAAACCTAAACAGATTAAAGTCCTCAGCAAGGTGAGATAATATTTTTTGTTCAAACAGTGAGAAGTTCTTCAAAACAAATAACTTTAATGTACAGCAGTACTTATATATGTATAGAGGGGACTGGCAGTAGTGGCACAAGTAGCCACTACTGTTAATTTACCTCCATTTTCTCTAGCACAACAGAAATATCACAACTCTCAAAAAAGAGAGAGCAGGACAATGATTTGTGCATCTTTACATTCATATAAAGAACAGGAGTATCACAATGTAATGGGATGTCCCACAAGTCAGATGGTTATAAAGTCTCCTAGAAAAATATATATGGCATGTCTTGATTTGGGTGAGATAGTTACCCAACTTTCTCTCTTCACCCTTGATAAGTGATAATGTAAAGTTATACAGCAAAGGTGCACCTTGGTCCTCTAAAGATATATTAATTGCACAGCACACATTACAAAAAGGCAAGCCACAATATAAAAACACATATTATCATTAGCTTTGTCTAACCTAATTGATTTTGACTATTGGGTGAAACTCACAAAATGTGCACGGACAGGGGTTACACCATGGCCCGATATCCCCAAATAAAAACGTGCTGACAGTTTAAATAAAGGATTCTAATTGTTACACCCATGTGTACTGTTTCACGAGTGAGGATAACTGCAGCATGCAGACCAAGTAACGTTAAAGTTGCCGGTCGGAAACTCGATCAAGCAATATGTGTTTTCATGTCTAGCAAGAGCATTTACAAGAATATAAAAATACATTTTCTAGACCTCGAGCCTGATAGAAACTTACCAATCTGAGAGGGGGTCAGGCCCTTTTTGGCCAGCTTGAAGATCTGATCTTTGACATCATCAGATGTGAGTTTCAGCCACTGCGAGAAATAATTAAATGATTTATAAATTGATCAAATCGGCTCAGAAACATTAAGATCCTCCAATATAATGTCTGTATACTTACAGTGGGCACACTGCGCCTGTAAGGCAGAGCTGACTGGGACAAGCCCTTTCTGTAGGAGAGAAAGACAAGCGACTAGTTAGACATGAAAGCAAACATTACAGGCATGAATAAAAGCGTTAAAGGACAACAACTCTAGTTTCTATCTGCACCTGGGGAGCTATTGAAGGGTGAGGGCTGTGCTAACATTAGCTTTAAACTCGTGTCGGAGATAACTCATCTAAATCTGGACGTCAAGTGCTTTTAATACAAGGGTTTAATTTATTCTTCAATTACATGAGGAAATTGTGCATTTGTGCTGTTAATGCGACTTCTCTTACTGCCTAACTAAAGGCTAAAACAGCAACATCGTTGTTAGCTGGCTTTGCTGTTAGCTAATGCTAACATGCTAACAGCTAGCCGGAGAAGGATGTCGATGTGAGCGTGCGAAAATGTAAGTTATTTCCTCGTCTCAAAGCTGGATTAAAGAGCTCAATTTGCTCCTCGTACATCCATAACACGTTTACAAACTCTATCGTGCCGTAAAAATCGATCTGTAGACACAATATTCTCACTTTATATGATAAAAAGAGAGCTCACCCGGGAGCGTGCATGCGACCCATGATGGCGGTTGAGGAAGAGAGGCCGCACACGCGACAGAAGACGGTATTTTGCACTTGCGCCGGACGTGACGCAATGACGCAGACAAAAGCTTTCTTGACGCATTCAAGAGTTAGAAATTGTTATTAACTACAAATACACAGTAATAGCATACAAATACATTGAAATACCGCAAGTAAAATAACAAATAAATAATGTTTTGAAGGCACATTTACAAAATAACAATATTGGCTTCTAAATGTAGTGGAGGACACGTGGAAATGTTACCGAAGTGTAGTACTAAAGTAAATCAACATAAAAAACATTCCACCACTGACTACAAGGTCATGTTATTATAGTCGTAGCCTATATAACATTAACGAAAAAGATACATTTCAGAACAAAATCAGAACATCTTAAAACGTTTTATCTTCTCAGCACACTAAAAACTCAAAATCCTTAACCCTTTAACTACCAGACCAAGAAAAAAGCTATGGAAAAATTATTTGTTTGCATTTTTTTAATCAAATGGGACACAAATAACCACAAACAATTTTTGACTGACCACACAGTTTTGTTTTTATGAGCCTCTACCAACTGGTCGAGCTGGCCTTCTATGGTAAAAGTGCATTTTCAACAATCATCATATACAGTATTTGTATGCATCAAACTCAAATAAAACACAAACTGAAATACATTTTTGTTCTTTTATGGAAGATGAGAAATATATACAACCAGATATATTCATAAAAGATAATACATTATAATTGTAAAAAAGTAATGTTAAGTGTTTTTCATAATAAAAAAAAGACTTGCTCACCTTACTGTATATGCTGAATTGGCCTAACAAGAAACCACTGGCCTAACAGAAAATGTCTATATCCTGTGTTGGCCTAACTTGCTCATCTGTGTGCAACTTTGGGCTGAATGCCATGCATTATATATATATATAAAATATATAAATTATTATCACTCTTTCACTCTGAGACTCACAAGGCAGTACTAGATTTAGTAATAGTACCATGATTACCATATTTTATTGGAAAAATGCTCTGAAACTCTGAAAAAGTAATATTGCTAGTTTACCATAAAAGGCCAATTCGACCGGTTGGTTGAGCATATTTTCAAAAGAATAAATACACCCTTGTTAAAACTTTTTTTGTGCATCAAGTTATCTAATTATGTTCAGTAAGTGCCCTGACACTAACATATGTCAAAAATGATATGGTTACCTTACAAAAGTTGACCAAAAAGAGTGATTTCTTCAGCAGTGATTTTTTTAGCATGCCAACTTTCTCAGTGGAAGCTAGCTGAAGGGCTTTCTGTTCGAACCACAGTGACATCTAGAGGTTGTTTTGTGCATAACATGTCAACCAAAGGATAGAGCTGGCTGAATCAGATGGAGTTTTTTTTTCAACAAGATATCAAGACACAAAATGTGCTCTACCAAATGGTGGCGCTGGCTGTTAAAGGGTTGAAGACTCTTAATATATGTGTAAATATTATAATGTAAATGTCTGATTTTATTTGTTATGATGTAATGTATGTATCCCCAAACTGGGTGTATAATGTTTCTTTGTTATTGTGCTGTTGAGCAAACTACAACTTATTTTCTCATTGAATGTTGATCAAACTGCTCATTTTACATTGTCATGAAGTCATGCTGATTTTCAGATTTTTTAAAACAAATTTTTGTTACACATTTCAATGTAGATCCATTTGTATTTGCTCTGGTTGGATGCCATTAAATAGGCCCCTGTATTCAATAAATATCCCTCCCCAAAATGTGAAGATGTAAATAATTCAGGTTATAGTAAATCCTGTTTAATCTTTGTAACAATTTGACTCTACTGTCAAAATAATAATAACGAGACACTGGAAAACATGGCTAGATACGTCAATATTGTGCAACTTTATACAACAAACAAGGAGTCGCATGAAATTTGTTCAAAAAACATTTAATTTGCTTCAGGAAAGAGGGATTACAGTACACACTGATCCATTCGGGTTACAGGTCACCAATTAATAATAAATAACTGGCCATGTTAATACAAACTCTGCTTGCTTTCTTTGTACAGTCACTAAAAGAGTGGATCAAGTCACTAATATCATAGCGTGAGTGATGCTCTTAGATCATAGTTGTCTTGAATATCTCATCTTTTCAGATACATTTCATTTCTTTATTAAACATTAATAACAACTTTAGATTTGTAGTTAGCGAGAGGAAGCAGCTAATGCTCAGAAACTTGTTCCCTTTTTGTGAAGATGTTTTAAGTCAAAGTTGCCTTTTCAGCAATGATCTGAGAAAGGTTTGCTCGAAATGTCCTCAAAATTCAGAGTGTTCTTTAACTTAAATATCATATAAACGTGGATCTGGACTTCACTGGCAGTTATAAACAAGTTACTTGTAATGGCGTCATTACACGACAGTGTGGTATCGCAGCCTCAGACTGCCTCCTGTCCAGACTCCAGTTTGAACTCAGTCCCTAAACTGCGTTTTGAAAAGTCTGAATTATGGTTTCGAACCACCTGAAGGAAACACAGAACTGACTTTTGATCAGCGTCATCAAGCAACCATTGTCTCTTCATCCAGAGCGTGATCCAAAGCTTATGAAACAAATTCCCCTTTTGGTGTGCTGTGTGAAAATAGTCAAGTAAGAACACGAGAGAAAGACCTGGTAGTGTGCGTTTAGTGGAAGCCCACAATTACAAAAACCTTCAGACCTGCTCTGGCAGAACTACTGCTATAACTTTTAATAAGGACACATCTCATGGTAATTAAAATATATTTAGCAATAAGGCCAAGTTGAGTATTAAAAAGGGATTGTGAGCACAAACGAAGGCACCCTGTTCCTCCTCGGAGAGTGGTTTGATTCGCCGTCCTTCTCGTTACTTTTGGCACTTTCGTGGGGAATCATAAGGTCACTGTTGATTTCCTGGAATCTGATGTGTTGGACTACTCTACCCAGAAGTGTCTGCTGCAAAGCAGGAAACCCTGACGCCTCCTATTTGTCTATGTAGAAAATTAACAAGGAAAATGTAAAAATGAGCCCCCTTTCTATTCCTTAAAAAATAAACGTGTCAATCTATATATACTCTTCTGAAAGTAAGCCATTTTGGTCCTCTAATATCAAAATGTACAAAACATTACAGCTCTTTGTTATAGTTTAGGAAAAAGAGAGACACAATAAGTGAAGATTGTTTGTCACAGAAACAATCTTGTTTAGTTAAAGATGGGAAGAGAGGAGAGCAGGCTCCACTTTGAGGGTTTGTGAAACGCTCGCCTTCTTAGGGTGCGTCGGGAGGAGTCTGCATTCATGTCATATGGGAATAACCACTATAGGAACATCATCATTATTATAAGCAATAACTTGGTGGGAGCCACCTTGATGAAATTCTTTAGAACCAGGTTGTGACTGATCAGTATGTACATAGTGATGCATGGTTTTAAGCAACAAGCGCGCTGTAGCCTGCCATGATGTATTAACAAACAGTCCATTTGGTTTGTTAGGTTTAAAACAAATATCACTGCTTATACCTTAAATCTGATTATGTCAGAAAAATAGTATGTCCATCCACCAAGTAGTATTTTCATGAACCATTAAATACAGTGACTAGTATTTTCAGGTAAGGCTGCATCTGCCGCCGTTCCCATATGAAGTGAACGCAGTTTTATTTTCTCCTGCAGACACAGAGTCGTTCCCCGCTCCGGCGCAGGCAGGTTTCAGAAGTACGGGACGGCCGTGAGTTTGTACCACTTGACCGTCTCCTTGCTGAGGTCAAAGTCTTTGAGTCTGAGCGTGATGCCGCCCAGGAAGTAGTTCTCTCGCAACGACTCGGCACTCAGCACGCTCAGCTGGAGCTCCCGCAGACCCAGGGTCTCCTTGCTGTAGCCGCTGTACACCAACTGTGGAGGAAGAGGAGGGGGAAGTGAGTAAAGTGTCCTGATAGGCATGGAGTTCTTATTTGGGTTCATGTTGGTTAAACCATACACCCCAGCACGTGCACTCCGCTCTGCATCAGCCAAACGGCTCGCTGCACCTTCACTGCGAGGGGGACCCAAGTTCCCATCAGCAAAAACACGTGGGTTTGCTATCCTGGCTCCAAAATGGTGGAATGAACTCCCCATTGACATCAGGACAGCAGAAAGCTTACACATCTTCCGGCGCAGACTAAAAACTCATCTCTCTCTCCTCTCAATAAGTGATCAGGGGCGTCACTCTTCAGCTTAACCAATCACTTCGCTCTATTCCCAAGAGCCTATCATAGCGCTCTGCCAAACCTTTTAAGTTTGCTCCCCCCCCTCTGACAGCTGTCATTCCAGGTGACTCGATGCAACCCTCCTCCACCCCTTTTCACCTCCCGTCCCTCTGAATACAGGGTCAAGCTAAACCCCTCCCCTTCAGACCGACCCAACTATCCATTCACCACCACTAGTGTCTAGACCCCGGGGGATTTCATCGGATCGGTTCTCCCCTCCCGAATGATACTTCCTGCACAACGGGGCCTAATCGCCAAAATCACCATTACATTAATTTGTGTATCTCTGCAATAAATATGTATTCTTACATCAAAACCGTCTCTCCTGATTGAATAGTGGTTATTTGCAGAAAAAATTACAATAATTTATTATTATAAATGATTTATTCTGGTTTTATGTTTCAGTATTTGTAAGCAACTGTGACTGAAAGAATATTGCTTTTATTTGACTTTTTTATTTAATTTAATTTTTTTATTTAATTTAATTTTTTAAGAAGGGGCAGGTAAAATAAGATTTCTTTCTCCCTGCTCCTTTCCACCATGCGCTATTAAAAAAAAAGTACTAGTTTTGTAAAGTGTACATCTTTTGTTTTAAAATAACTGCCATGCGTGGAATAAACAAATAAATAATACATTAATTAATGGGAAATAAATGATTGTTTTTATTTTTAAATATGTTGTAGTTGAACTTGTAGTTTTAATTATGTTTTTAAGCTTCTTAGAGCTAGTGTTTGGAAGACAAACAAAATGACGTCTCAACACATCAAGATAATGTTATAATTTACCTTCACCCTGTATTCATTTTTATAGAATAAAGCTCAAACGTTTTATAATGTAACTCAATGCATCCTCCGTTAACAGAATCTACTTATCAAAAGAAAGATCTCCCTGCATTATGCTTACATTTAGAAAATCAAAACCATGGTTCTTGAGTTTAGGAATATAACATCAAGTATAAAAATGGAGACAAAATGTATTTGAGTATTTCCTAACCATCTCATTGAAAGTAGGGTTCCTGGTTTTCCTCGAGATCTTTGTCTTGCGTTTGGAGGTCTTGTGTGGATCTGGAAGCAGGTAGGTTTTCACATAAGGGTTGGGATCTGTTCCATCCTCAGAGACCTGAAGGCAAGCAGAGAGATTCATATAAGGACAACAGGTAGATAAACACAAAACAAGACAACTGCCTGTCAAAGCAGTTTTTGAGCATCTGTATTTGTTAGAGCCAGTTTTTAGTTTTTATAAGAAAGGCCACCTAATTGTGACGTCTGTAGTCAACACACTATAAAAGACTACAATTCCCACGGCGCCTCCTCTAGAGTGACAGTGATGGGCAACCTGTCAGAAAGACGCCGTTGAGGAACAGTTTTTAACCGTCCAATTACCCTTTAAGTTATTAAGTTATATAAGCCTTATCAAGAAAGAAAGAATACTTAAAGGTCACCTATCATGCTATTTTTAGGCAATAGCATAGGTCTCAGATGTATACAAATATATAAAAAACATGTCTATGAAGTGTTTTGCTCAAAATACCAATCAGATCACCCATTCTAGCCATGCCTCATATCCCTCTATTTCACTTCCTGTTTCAAAAGTGCTGATTTTGGGTATAAAGCTTTAAAAAAAATAAAAAATGTATAAAAAAAAGGAGGGTTCTGAGCTCATGCGGGACCCGGCAGCTACTGTCTAAACTAAATACTGCGGTGATGAAACGCCATATCATGGATTATCAAGGATTATTTCTGAAACAGTATGGAGCTCAAAGGCTTTCTCTCTTGCCGGTTATACCACAAGGTGAGTTCCTTTTTATTTCCTGCTTCTTCACACACATGCTTTTCAGTACAGGTTAGCTCTGAGTGTTAGCGATGCTAATGTAAACACCGACCATATTACGTCCAAAACAGTCGGGCATTGTTTCTGATAGCAACGTTTCTGATAGGGCCGTGGGTGTAAAGCCAGCCCACATTTCCGATATTACGTCATATCGGACACAAATCTGGATCAGCTCCGTTGTAGCCCCGTTTTTAGAGATTTGGGTACGGAGGAGAAGAGAGAGGGTTGCTGCGTGAGTTCCCCGACACACCGGGGACACATATTTATGTATAAAAGACATCAAAAAGTGCATTTTGCATGATAGGTCCCCTTTAAGGTGTTTGTTATTTTATTTGAGTTTAGCCTATTTGTTTTGAATATTGTAAAGGCCTCTGTTCTTTGTTGCATGTGTAAAAGTTTGTTGTTTTATTTTGAGCAAACACATCGCATAACATCATCCAAACCATCGGAGGCCAAGCAACTCTTCAACTGTACGTAATATAAAAGAAAGAAAACCAGTTAGAAATGTCTGTTTAAGGCGTCTAGTGGCTTGAAAGAAAAAACAAGGAAGGAAGCCACGATAGTATTAAATAACGTCTATTTACCAGATCTCTGATGTGCATGAGCATGATGAAGAGGTTGCTGTTCCTGTAGGAGATCGAGAGCTTCACTTCTCCTTCCACCCGACCAGAGGTGGGACTGAGAGGAGGCTCTGCAACAAATCATCACAATCAGGAAATAGTTACAACAAAAACAAATTAAAAAGGTACAAACACATCCTTTTGTCTGAGGTAGAAAGTCCTCATTACCCAATAAATTACTACAATTATTTATTAAAAGTCCCGTATTATACTGTTTTTCATCAATATATTATAGGTCTCAGATATATACAAAACATGTCTCTGAAGTGTTTGGCTCCAAACACCAAACAGATCATTGCATCATTACCCATAATCCCCTCTGTTTCAGCCCTGTTTCCAAAGTGCTGATTCTCTGTCTGTTACTTCAGATGAAAATAAGGAGCCCCTCCCCACGCCCCTCTGAGAGATATTTGGTTACAAAGAACACAATGGTGCTCTAGGAGGAGATTCAGGTGATAAGGTGGGGGGGGGGGGGTTACCTTGGTTGGTGATTGGCTAATGGTTACACAAGCCAAAAAAACGTTATGACATCATAAAGTGGCCAAAATCTGATCAGCTCATTTTCAGACAGGTTTTTATATAAATGGATCAGGACAAAAAGAGAGAGAATCTTTGTTCCTGAAACTTTCTCAGTCTCTTTACACTGAAAAAGTGGATTTTGAATAATAGGTGACCTTTAATTCACCTTGTCTATTATACAGTGAGTATGAAACTTGAACAATGGGAGTCAAAAGTGCAGGTTTTATTTACCTGGTGCTTTGGGTGTGGCATCTAAACCCTCTGTCTTCTCATCCCGTGCGATTGGATGAAAGAAGGTGTACACCAGGTCACACTAGAGACAGAGAACATGATGTTACTTCCTTGACTCGTACATAACATTGTCCCGCTGGGTTTATTTAGTATTTGTGTGAATATGTGTACCTGTGTGACCTCTGTGGAGCTCCTCAACAGGTTGTGCACATAGTTGTTGAGCTCCAGCTTTCTCTTGGCGGCCACTTCTTTGATGTGGGTGCGACCGAGAACCATCTTGTTAGGGAAACTGGAGATTTAAAAAAGAAGGCGAGGTAAATTCACTATTTCTCAGAATGTGATGTGACTTTCCTTTAAGCAACAGCACTGAGGTAGCATCTCAGAGGATCATAGAGGGAAAGTTAAGCAGATAATAACAGGGTTCTGGTTCTCTAGAACACACTGTGATAAGCCCAGATGTGTCAATAAAGAAAATACTGTATCACAGCTTGGTATTAAGGAAACTAGATCAGTAATTGAGACATTAATGCCCCAACTTAATTCACTTTTGGTACAATGTGTTTTTCTCCATTCCCTTTTTCCCTGTAGATAGTCCAGTAGTAGGGGTAGTAATCAGCAGCGAGCGCTTTAACACGTGTATTTCGGTTTATTCAAGGCATCCATTTTGTTATTCTAGAGTATTATTGTTTTATAGTTATTTGTTAATGTAACTAACCCGATTTGTGTTCTTTGAAATTGAAAATGATATTGCATTGCGTTTGTTACTTTCGTTGCAGTTGTATATATGTCTTACGTAGTTTGGCTTGGCTTCCTATTTTGTATGGACATGCTTTTATTTTGAAGGAGAGTTAGCGCAGTTGACAGGAAGTTGTTGTTGCTATGGAAACAACGTGACGGAGAAAAGTAATATCAACATATAAAGAATGAGAAAATAAAGGATAACGTTTATGGTTAAGTGTTAGCACCCTCCGAAGAGGCACAAGCTCTTGCGTTGATATTGGAGATTAAAAAAACAAAATTCAATTTGGCAGCCGTGGCAAAAAAAGAACAAAAACGAATATCCGAATAACGAAATTGAAAACCGAATAGTAGGCCAACGACCGAATATTCGGATATCCGGGTACAGCCCTACTGCACAGTGCACACAATGGTTTGGCTTATTTAAAGCTAATGTAACTGAAATAATCTTGCTTTCTTGATTGTTATCTTATTGGTTAATTGCAATTATTTGAAGTTGCTTTGGTAAAAGTGTCAGCTAAATAAAGTGTAATGCAATGCTTGGAACCTCAACCTCTGTTGTCGCAAAATAAAGTCCCAGGTGTTAAGGAATAATTCTTCTAGATATCTAACCTTTTACTCTGACATGTGTTATCTCCTTGAAGGAAAGGCCTTGGTGCCATATGTGTTGTTGTCACCAGTGTGAGACCGGTCAACTTGACTGGCACGAAGGGTAATTGTTGTGGGAACACTGAAGCACTTCTTTATCGGTGTTTGTGGGCTCCAGGATGTGAAATCCTTGAGGCCATGAGCGTCGGACGCAGATGATTCAGTGTTTAGTCTACTCCTTCAGAGATGTTGATTTCTCTCTGTGAACCTTTTAGGTCTAGCATAGAGAGAGGCTCTTCAGAATTGACGTGGCAACTCTACCGTGTAGTCAGAACCTCTGACTCTTTGATTTGTGATGTGAATCCTCCGGCCGAATACTCTGAATAAACCCATCAGTGTTTGACATCAAAGCTCCAACTCTCACCGTGTCTCCTTCCTGAGTCGGTGACTCCATGCATTACTACACAGAAGTTTCCTCCACACCAGGTATTCAACAACTTTGTGAGTGAGTAAAATGAGCATTGCTTTGGGGTACAATTAAACAGAAACGTGATATAAAAGGCTGAAGGTCAGGGTGTCATGTTTTACCTGGGCAGCTTCCAGAGAGGGAAGAGGATGGTGAGTTTGTTGTGGAGCTCCTGGAACTCATCAAAAGTGCGAAAGAGAAAGTTGGGCTCAGTCTGGCCTTCCCTCAGGATCCTCACCACGTACGTCTAGAGAGGAGAGAGAGGGAGACAGACGTGCAGTCAGGGGTCAGCGCTTCTCTAAAACTTACATCCACTGAATTGACGGAGCGTGATAAACTCACATAGTGCTTGTCGGGGTTGTATCTCTTCTGGAAGGAGAAGATGGAGGCGTGCAGGATGCGGCCTTCCTGCTTCATGGTGTACGTCTTCGGGGAGAAGGAGAGGATTGGCTCGTCGTTGGCGGGCAGACCGGAGAACCGCAGCTGGGCCAGGTTGTGGATGAAGAAGTTGAACTTGGTCGCCACGCTGCCCAGACTGGACTCTATCAGCCTGGAGAGTGGGGGGAAAGAGGGGTGGAAGAGCCACTTGATTACACATTATTTTAGGGACATTTTTCTTATACATTTGGCTCCAACACTATGGAACTCTACTAAATAAACGTATTATTATTATGTTGGCAAAAGAGATTAGATCCTTTTTGAACGTCATTTAAAGGGGACCTATCATGCAAAATGCACTTTTGTACGTCTTTTGTACATGAATATGTGTCCCCGGTGTTCCAGGGAACTCACCAAGTGTCAGAAAACACAACCCTCTCTATTTTCCTCCATACCCAAATCTCTAAAAAAGGGGCTGCAAACGGATCTGATAAAAAACTGATCCAGATTTGAACACTGTCCTGACGTCAGGACGGTGGCGCTACGGCTATTGGGCCAACTCCACCAATCAGGAGGAGACAGCCACGGCCATTGCCGTTCGAAAGCGCTGGAGACGCTGTAGTACATATGCCAGGCCTGTAGGTGGTGCTGTTCTCACAGAATCTGCTCTTGCTAAAACAGAGCTAAAAAATGTCAAATTGATCAAAATGAGGCATGGCTAAAATGCATGATCTGTTTGGTATTTTGAAAAAAAAAAAGTATAAATATGCCTTATATAGGTATGGTCCTACACTATATTATTCAAATATAGCATGATAGGTCCACTTTAAACTTGTACTACCATTTTGTATAGTTTTGCATATATTGACACAGGTGGACGTCGTTTCTTTTTGTTATTCCTATGTTACAAAGTGCTATATTTCATTATTTACGACAGGTGATATTGCTGTACGTTTTTTAACTAAGGCATGCTAGTAAGCTGCTGTAAGTCTGCACGTTTTTAACTGAGTTTATGTTATTTCCTGCAGTGTTAAAGCTATAGCATATAATACTGATTGATCAAGTCAGTAGTGGACTGGGCAAGACGTCACTTGAATGGAATTCATCTGCTGTAACGCTTAAAATGTACTTTAAATAAATGCTTGTCCAAGTTGTACCTGCCTCCCGTGAGTACATTTGGTCTTAACAAAAGGTTAACATTTTAGAAAAAAGTCAGAAATCAAATATTCTTGCAGCTTTGACCTAAAGCTGTTATATAAACAAACTTAGTTACAATCTAACCCGACTGGTTTTACAAAGACAAGGCCCGTCTGATACTATCTGTAGAATTTCAGGAGTATTTGTTTCTGTAATGTGAGACAGCAGCTATTCTTTTTTTTGCTGTGCTTATGTCGCCACCTGGTGGACTTTCAGTTTGCAGCAACATAAAGAAAGAAAATAAGTAACAGCGTTTAAAAAATAATAAGAACACCATTATTTATCCCTTTTATTTTGAGTTTACAATGTTGAGGTTGAAATTCAGTTTAAACTTAGTTTTATTTTTGCTGAAACAAGTGTTACTATTTATAGATTTTTTGTTTCTGTAATGTGAGACAGCAGCTATTATTTGTCTTGCTGTACTTATGTCGCCACCTGGTGGACTTTCAGTGAGTAGCAACATCAAAAATAAAAGATAAGTAACAGCTCTGGCCAAAATAGCAGCTGTGCACATAAGAAAACTTGTCAAAAAACACCATTCATTTCCCCTTTGTTGGGATTTTTCAATTTTAAGGTTGTTCAAAAGTTGGAGAAATTCAGTTTAAACTTAGTCCAAGCGGCCAATTAGTTTTATTTTTGCTGAAACAAGAGTTATATTTGATCAGCGCTGGTAGAAGAAGTTGATGTGTTACCTGGTGAAGAAGATAGTGGCCTCAGCGTCTGTGTTGTGCGGCTGCAGGGCATCGAACACATACTTCAGATCCTGAGAGCCCGTCAGCTCGGGGAGGCCGGAGGACGTCATCTACAAACACAGAAAACACCAAACTCAGAGGCATTTTCTGGGTTATTTCATTCCAAAATATTGTAGCAGATTAACACATTAATTGCACTTCATTTTGTACAGTAAAAATATTTCATAAAAAAGGCATATACATAGAATACATCTAACACTATAATGTGTACTTAATAAAAAAAATATACACATATGAAACACTTTTGGGTGTTATATATGTACAATTTAGCCTTTTAGGAAGCAAACTCCTGCTCTCTGCTGCACTTTCTCAATGCATTGCTATGCATTTTAACCTGTCATCTGATTGTGTATTGAATTTGCATTATCCTCCTTTTATTGCGCAATTTCATCATTGTACCTTTAATCTAAATGTATTTTTTATACGTCTACTATTTTTAGTTTGTTCTTATGTTTTTAACTGGTAACTGAATGCTGTGTGATATCAATGTTCTCTGAAATGTCTATGTGAAGCACCTTGAACTGCACTTATTGTATGAAAGGTGGTATACAAATAAAGATTATTATTATTATTATTATATAAGTTCAGTCTCACCAGTGACAGCAGGTTGAGGAAAAGCCCAGAGTGTTTCCTGATGAGGTTGTAAGCCTGGCAACACAAGTCCACAAACAGCTGGAAGCGGCTGGTGGGTCGCTCGCCTCCGTTGATGACGTACGCCATGTCCGAGGTCAGAACGAAAGGAGCGCGGTCCCTGAGGGAGACAAGGAGAGGAGATATAAATGAATAATGTGAGCAAGTTAGTCAAGAAGTTGTAAAAAAAGTTTAAGTTTAAAGCAGGGGTGTCCAAACTTTTTGCACCGAGGGCCACATACAGAAAAATATACGAAGGGCTGGGCCGCTCACTAGAGGTATATCGCCTCATAAGTTCAGTTATAAGTTAGCAAACTCAATCAAATGTAGGTAAAGTATGCTTGTGAGTGTTGGCAGCTCATCCCTTAACACAGAAGCCTCAGATTGATTATAATAAGGAGAAATAGGAAGGGTGTATTTCAAGCTTGTAAATAAGTCATTGGGCTTTTTTCTTATCAACTTAGATTTGTTAGAAAATGTTTCCAACTTTAATCGACTGAATTAATTTGAAAAGTGGTTTTATTAACACGTGAATACTATTGTGTCATATATGTGTACATTTATATTTAAGAAGTACAATATAAGACAAGCACAAGTTTCCTTTGTGGGCCATATTCCATTATACTTTTTGAATTAGCTGAGGGCCGATTCAAATTGGTCCGCATTTGGCCCCCGGGCCGTAGTTTGGACACACCTGGTTTAAACCATTGGGTAAATCTGCATCACAGAGTGAATGCTCAACTTTGAAACTGCCTCAGGGCCTTTGGTTACGACAGAGCCTCTGAATATTTATGTGGTTGTGCTCCGACGTTAAAAATAGAAGCGCGTAGTTGTAGATCTACGACCCACTTCATGCAGGAAACTAAACATTAATCTTATAGAGTACAAACCCCACACCCAAAAATTCAGGCTCCCTCATAGGTGATTTTTTTAGAAACTAGTAATGAGCACATATGATACACGTGTCTTTAGGTCTGTCACGATAACTACATTGGCAGGCCACGCTGAGTAATTTCTCCTGCATCACTATAGCCGACCTGACCGCTGTAGTGAGCGCTATGAAACCTTCTTCAAGCCCTCTGGATGCTTTACCAACGTCCATGCTAAAATACGTTTTTTCATGTGTCGCTCCACCCTTGCTCCACATTATAAACATCTCCATTGTCTCTGGCTCCGTCCCATCATTTTTTAAGCAGGCGGTTGTTCAGCCCCTCCTCAAAAAACCCAATCTAGATCCCTCCCTCCCGAATAATTACAGGCCCATCTCAAAGCTCCAATTTGTGTCAAAAGGTTTTGAAAAAGTCGTTGCTAATCAACTCAATACATTTCTGAATGACAATAACATCCTTGACAAATTCCAATCAGGTTTCAGAAAACATCACTCCACAGAATCAGCTCTCCTCAGGATCTCCATTATGATGGCATCGGATGCAGGTGATTGCGTGGTTCTGGTGTTGTTGGACCTGAGAGCAGCGTTTGACACAGTGGACCACGCCATCATGCTAGATAAGACTCAGGGAGTGGGTAGGCATCTCAGGGTCTGCCCTCCAGTGGTTTGCCTCGCACCTCAGTGGGAGAAGTTTCTCCGTGGCTGTGGGCCCGTTCTCATCACGCAGCACTCCCCTATCCTGCGGCCTGCCCCAGGGTTCTGTTTTAGCCCCCCTTCTTTTTGCCCTGTACATGCTCCCATTAGGCCACTTAATTAGCAAATTCAAGGGTGTCTCGTATCATTTTTATGCAGATGATATCCAGTTATACATCTCCTTCAAACCCGTCAAAATGGAGAATTTAAACACCCTGATTACATGTCTGTCTGCAATCGAGGAGTGGATGTCAAGCAATTTCCTACAGCTCAATGCATCAAAAACAGGAGTCCTGATTTTAGCGGCTGATAACATCGCCTCTAAGGTAGCAAGCCACCTGGGTTCATTTAGTGGTAACGTTAGGGCAAACATAAAAAACCTTGGTGTTACCTTCGATCAGTCTATGCTGCTAGACAAACACATCAAACTCCTGACCCGTACCTGTTTTTTCCATCTCAGGAACATTGCCAAGCTCAGGGAGTTTCTATCCAATGCAGAAATGGAGATGGCTATCCATGCCTTTATTTCATCCCGGCTTGATTATTGCAATGCTCTTTTTTCCTGCCTCAACAAAACATCAATAAACCGGCTACAACAGGTCCAAAACGCTGCAGCCAGATTGCTCACTCGGTCCAAAAAAACATGCCACATCCTTTCTGCCCTGCACTGGCTCCCTGTCCATCTCAGAACCCAATTCAAAGTATTAGTCTTCACATATAGAGCTGTCCATGGCCAAGCCCCAGCCTGCGTTAACGACCTTATCCTCCCTCACAGCACAACCCGGGCCCTGAGGTCCTCTGAGCAAGGCCTCCTAAGGGTGCCCCGAACCAGGCTAAAGACTAAGGGGGACCGTGCCTTTGAGGAGGTGGCCCCCAAGGCTTTGGAATGAACTCCCCCAGAAACTAAGAGCCTCTGCCTCAGTAGAGATTTTTAAGGGGCAGCTAAAGACTCACCTTTTCCGACAGGCCTTTGGGGCGTCAGAGGAGGTGAGTTAGTAGCTGTTTCTCATTGGTGTTTATCCTATGTTTTACTTGCTGTGTTTTAAGGTTTTTTCTACATTTTATAGTTGCACTTTGTACATCCGTGTTGAGAAGGGTGCTATAAAATAAAGTTTTACTTACTTACTTACTTATTTGTTGAATTATATGTAATTGTTCCAGAAATGATTGCAATAGACAATATTACTGTAATTCTAATGCCATTGTTTGCCACTTTTGTAATGAATATATGAAGGCATAATAATGCAAGTACATTGTCAAAGAATAATAAAGTGACTTTTAATTCTTAAGAATATTCAGACATTTCAATAGGAATACATAAATAAATAAAACCATACAACAAACAATGAATAAAGTGTACTTCTGGGCTCTCTTGACCAAAAACTGCACTTATATTATGGTGCTTAATTGTCTTATTCATTGTGACAGGTCTGCAAGTATTGAATTGTTTCTGGTCTAATATTGTAACACTACCACTGGGACACAAAGCTTAAGAGTCCATGTTCTCATCACCATATTAGATAAGGTAATCAATGGAATTAAGTTTCATTATGATTTTGTGTTAGCATACAGGTGCATGACTCCTCACCTATTATCTAAAAACTCCCTGTTATAAAAACCAAATGACAGTTCACTTCCTGAAGGACAGACCTTTAAACCCTGACAGAGCACCAAAGCTTTATCTGACTATCACGTGCAAACACTCATACCCGCAATCACGTGTTTAAGAGCATTTCATCTGACTCTCACCTTTTGAAGCTGCCAAACATCTGGGCGTGTCCCAGGAACTTCCCGAAGTCGATGTGGAACATGTGACCCGTGGAGCGCAGCATGATGTTGTCGTTATGACGATCACAGATGCCCAGAACGTATGTCGCCACACAGCACCCGGCACACGAGTAGATGAAGTTCTCTGACGCCTAAAAACAGGAAGAGGAGAAAAAGTGAGACACATATGAAGAAGTTCAGAAGCATGGATACTTAGTGCAGGGCTCAGGCTTCAGGGATTCTTTTGGTTGGATACATAGAGAGTACAGCAGGGCTATTCAATTGGCGGCCCGCGGGCCAAATCCGGCCCCGGGGTGATATTTACTGGCCCTTTGAGTATAATGTTAAAAAGTAATCAACTTTTTTTTAGTGCCTTTATTCCAGAGAGGGTGTTAAATTGAGAATTGTCATTGATTGCTTCGCGTCGGGCCGAACCACGCCTCTTAGCTGTGATATAATGACCATATACCACGGCCTGTCGTGAGCTATTGCTTAAATATCTGATGACTTGAGTGGAAAAAGTAGCAAGATAATTAGTCAGACAATTGTACTTCTCTTCAAATATTTAGCTAATCAATTAATCCGTTTGACGCCCATTTACTTTTTCTTCACTCGAGTGTTAATATTTACAGGTTATTTCCTCCTTTATGATAGTTAATAGAACATCCGTTGGTTATTTTCATGATTATTCGATTAGTTTTCTATAAAATAAGACAAGAAAATTGTGAACAATTTGACATTTGAAAATTACATCTAGGGCTATGGGAAAGACTGAGCGACATATTTTTTTACAATTTTCTTGTCTTATTTGATAGAAAACGATTAGATTAATCAAGAAAATAACCAACGGATTAATGTAAATAATGGTTATTTGCAGCCCCTCTGATGAAAGGTTGATTGCTCTGTTCTGCTGAAGTTCAGGGTCAAACCTTGATCAGTACATTATAAGGGTCAGGGGAGTGGAGTAAGGTTTCACATTTATAGGAGTCAAAGGTTGTAAACGCCTGTAAACTTCAAAAGTTTTACCCACTGTGTGTTTTTCACTCCAACAGAGTCAAGTCATTGTGTCAAAGTAAAGTTTAATATTGAAGCCTTTTACAGCTAAGTGTTAACAAGCAGCTCAGAGGTCTTACTGACATTCATGATATATGTGAAACCCCTACTTTCTGTGAGATAAAGAATAGTTTCACTGGTTTTTGATGTTTGCTTTGACCTTTTAGCACGTATGCTCTATGTGTTTGTACCTTCTCATACTCGTCCTCTGCAGGGTTGTACTTTCGGAGCCACTCGGCTAGCGGTTTGTCTTTGAAGGACCCGGTGACGCCGTACTCCACCTGGATCTTTCTCAGGGTGTCGGAGGACGGCACCAGCTCCACCATGCCTTTAAGAAACATCACAACTCTTATAAACACAATGCAAACAAATAACAGTCAGCTTTTTATGAATTAACTGCCATGGACAACTGGAATATGTAGACATAACTTTGACAATGCCTTTCCATAAACGTAGCTCATGAATAACAATACTTTTTTTAAGTAAGTTAGTTTAGTTTACAGGATAGCGTTAATGATTTCCGCTGTGCCCTCTGACAGCAGCTGAACACGTCCTTTGTACCTTGCTAAACATTTGCACTGTTTACTAACTGTACGTTTCCTATTTGTATGTACATTTTGTACTGGTTTTGTAATATCTAATATAATCTGTACTGGCTTTGTAATATTTAATATAATTTGTACACTGTTTTATCTGTTCATTTGTTTACTAAAATACACCTTTTAAGTGCAATAGTTACTCTTCTTCAACAATGTTTGGGCAGTCACCGTACCACTCTTAAAACAGGATTTATTGCAGGACAGTTGTATTACACTGCATTAGTAATACCTAGGTGTACCTAATACATTGATTGTTTGTGAATAAATGTCAATTAAAGTGTCCTAAATCTTTAAGTCATATCCACATTGTGACACTTGACATGTAAATGGGGGCTGTTTGTGTTTGCCTGTTACCTTTGTCCTTGCCGGTGGAGATGCATTTGAAGTTGACGATGCGCAGGTCCAGGCCCTCCTGCAGCCAGATGCGATCCATGATGCGGATCATCTGAAGAGCCAGCATGTCCTGCCTCAGGTCCTCCCCAACCTGACACACACACACACACACACACACACACACACACAGAGGCACACGTTACACAAACACTGAGGTTTTATTATTATTGTTTGGATCTCACTTCAGCCACCAGGGGGCGCAGTGTTCAGATGAGAAGCATGTAAACAACAGTTGGGTGCAACAAGTTTTGTGAAACGAATGACAACAACCCAGTGTAGACCAGTGGTGTGTGAAAGAGAACCTGTTTTTTAGGTACCATATCATGATGGCTGTTCACATAGAGTGTACATTGTTAGGTTGTAAACACAGTATGTGTGCGTGTGCGTGTGTGTGTGTGTGTGTGTACACAGTACCTTGAACATAACATTGATCTCTTCTCCCAGCGGGTCGGCGTTCACCAGGGCCAGCTTGAGAGGAACTGCGTTGGAGTTGAAGAAGGAGCAGGCCTACACACACAAACAGACCGTATGAATTGTATGTTGTTTTAAAGATCCAGTTTTACAAAAGCATCTAATCATGTCTCTAATCATTTTTCTTCTATCTGTGATTTATTATTAGATATTTTATTTTATCTGCAGATTGTTTTGCCTCCCCGTCCAAAAGGCTTCATACTGTATGTCATCATTGCACTTCTCCAAAAAGATCCCCATCCAATGACTAAACGCATTATGATCATAACCAGATATAAAGTGATTAAAAGGGTCACCAGATAATCTAATCCCCTCTATAAAAGCCTGTGACCTGGGAGATAATAGCCATCAGCTAAAGGAACATATGATTAAAGCTTCCTAACTGCCAACAATTCCTTTTGTGATAAGTAGTGATCATCCTTTAACTTAAAGTGCATGCAGATATAAAGAATGTGACTGTGTATATGTCTGTATGAGATATTTGAGAATGTACCAATGCATGAGTTTCATATGTTGGTGAACGGGTACTTTCCATGTACTTTCATGAGTTCATTTCCTCAGTGGTTTGAACCACAGAGGTTCTACGAAAAGTCTGTTTTTGTTGTGTTTCCTGATCATCTGTTGATCGACATTGTTTTCTCATTCTGCTGCTCTGTGTATTTCCCTGCAATGTTACAGTTTTGCATTAACTCCTGCTTCTATGTCTTTTCATATTTTATGATGCTACCACACATGAAATCCTGAATTTAAATGAATTTGATTTATTGGATTAAATTAGTCTTAAGTGATTTAATGAATCGTTGTACAAGCATGTCAACGTTATGAATAAAGCATTGAACTTTCTGCATGAGTGCAGCATGTGTAGTGTGGTGTCTCTGTGTGAGACCGGCTAGTTCAACTGTTCATTGTTAGGAGATGTGCTCCAGTGTATCTTTGTGTATTGTTTTACTTTAGTCACTTTCTTTCAGAAGAAAGTTGTTCTTAGTTTACCTTAAGTTTACTTTGCAAATTGGCTGATGAGCCCTCTTTCCTTTTTGATTATTAAACATCACCTTGTGGCTTCAGCAATCAGTTTTTCTCCTTTTTTGTCTCGCCCAGTTATTTTATATTTTGTTACTTCCCTTTGGTTCCCCTAGTCCAGGAGGGAACATAACACAGCCTCACATCTTTTTGCATGGTAAATGATCATCTTTTTGTGAGTGTGTGTGTTGTGTGTGTGTGTGTGTGTGTGTGTGTGTGTTGTGTGTGTTACCTTCATGTTGAGCTCCTTGGCCACCAGACTGGGGCAGAGGGGCAGCCGACAGCTGTTCCTCTGGAAGAAGTTCTGAACGTTTTCAAGACCCTCCTGCAGCGCCACCTGAACAAAGAGAAATACAAAAACATGCATAAGAAAGTTCCAACACACAGACACAATGAAGTAACGTTCAATATAGTCAGAACTCAACCAAACACACACACTGACCTGTCTCGTTGAGCCCCCGGCCTGGCGGACCCTCTCGGCCACGGCCCCCAGCAGAGTGACGAGGTGAGACTGCTTCTCCAGCTCGGCCCTCAGCTTCACGCCGCACATGCACAGCAGCGCCCCCAGCACTCGCTCATAACGTCTCCCCCAGGCGGGGTCCTGCACAGCGTCCTTCAGCAGCCTGCACACATTACACACACACAAAATAACCAACTTAAAAAGACACTATCATACAGGACAATTTCCCACAAGCCCGATTTAATGTGATCAGAATCAAAGTGCCTAAATCCTGACAAATATACATTTTCCTGATTGACAACTGAGCGGAGAGTTGGATTCAAGAGGACATCTACTTGGGCTTCTGTTCTGCTGTGAACTCACCAGTAGAGGTAGTGGGCGATGTTGATGTTGGCCAGCGCTCTGGACAGCAGGAACATGACGAGGGCGTTTTTTAAGTGACTATCAAACTTTAACGCCTAGAAAGAAAAAAAGAGAATTGGGAGTTATAACACAAGAAAGAGGAGGTAAGTAGAGCATCTAAAAGTGCAGGAAGAATATGTATGTGTGTATTTGTACCTGTACTAGCTGTGGCAGGTAATCAGCCAGCTCATCATCACTGCTCTTCTCAATCCAGCTCACTGCCACATTTCTTACTTCTGTATCTGCAAACCTACACATACATCACACACATCATTAGAATTATGGTACATTTTCATAGCAGCAGGCACCGAAAAAGGACAAAAAAACTGTACTAACAAATAATAGAAATAGAAAAGCATTATGACATTTTTTCCTAGAATATAATTGTACACAACCTTTTACAATATCTATATCATTTCAAACTTCTTCAGGAAATGTTTGGGCCAGATGCGAGATAAGGTGTTTTCACATACTTTGAGTGCAGCAGCTCCAGCGCGGTGACGGGCGGCAGCAGGGGCCAGTGGTGCAGCAGCGAGTGGATGTGAGCCATGCTGGCCCAGTCCCAGCCGGGCGCGCTGGCCAGCACCTTGGGGAGGCTGCTGGGGTGGTCCTGCCTGCAGTGCAGCCGGTGGTCCCACAGGAGCTGGTGGTCCGCACGCTTCAGCCTGGAGGCGGAGCCAAGACAGACGAGAGGGGAGATGGAAGAGATGGATGAGATGGATGAGATGGATGAGATGGAAGAGATGGATGAGATGGATGAGATGGATGAGATGGAAGAGATGGAAATAAATCATTTGGACCCACAGATGTGTTTTTCACCTTTGGTCATATACAACCAAATCAAATTTGTTTCATGTCATCTTTAATTTGTATTTGTGAGACTATCTTTAGGTTTCAACACTGTGAAAATATACTAACAGAAAATATGTAATTAGTCCAAGTGTACTTACTTGACCTAATTGACCAACACACATGTTTAAAACAGACAAAGAGTAAGAGCACTTACATTCATGCATTTCACTTGCACCATTATGTCACTTTTACTGTTGTATTGCACTATTTATTTGTATGTATATTGTGTGTTGCATTGTTGCAGGAGTCTGGGACTTAAGATTTTATTGTCTGTTGCTGGTGTGCGGATGACAATAAAGCATTTGAATCCTTGAAAATAGAATCACTCAAGAGCACCTCAGAAAAGTGAGCAAATGATCTACAATAATGTAAGCAAAGAAATCCTCAGAGGTAAGCTTGAAAGTGTGTAAGAGTTTAAAATGTGAACCTCATTGACAACTAAAGAGCTGACATGGTTAGATTAACTTCCTTAGGAAATAAAGGTACAAGAGGACAATCATATCACGAGACCTGATGGTCACATGACACTGGGGACTAAACACCACTGTTATGACCATTATTGCCAACCCTCCCGATTTCATTGCCCTCTCCCGGTTTCCTCCCGGGGTCATATTTCTCCCAATTTCTGACAAAATCAGATTTACTCACAACTGTTTCCACTCTGACTTTAATACAGCTACACCATTGTTGGTTTCCATGGTAGCACGTCTCTTTAGTAGCGCGCGCAACTGAAAGTCTGAGAGGGTGAGGAAGATAGTCACAGAAAACTGAACAAGAATCGACCACTCCTGCTCACTCCTTTCCAGCCCACACATATGCTACAGGCCGCAAGGCATTGCACTTACAACTACAATAAGCATGTTAATGTTAATCTACAGCTCCGGCGATCCACTAGCAACCCCACCCCCCCCACCCCCGCGGTGGTTTTGAAATGCTAGGCAAGTATGGTTATGACCACCACTAAGACTTTTTAACACCACTAAACAGGTGTGACATTTCTTGGGCAGTGTCCTCTAAATACAAGCGGAAATGTTTGCACCTTGAAACTAAAGTCATGTCTGTCACATCACGCCACAGATCCCATGATCAACCACTAGAGTTTTAGTTTTTTCACAATGACTACTCTTTCAAAACTGAACCGATATGCCACTTTAAATTCTAATATACTGCACATAATTAATAATTTTTTCGTTCTACTTACTTTTTTCTACAAAAAATGTTTGTAATATATATTTTTTAAATTATTTGTGGTATTTCTTTCAAACATCTTTCCTTATATTTTTGAATTGCTTTAAATGTGCTTCTTTTAAGAATAATAATTCCTCTTAATGTGTTTATTATGCACCATTATACATCAATGATAATTTATCTTATTTTTAAACCTGTTTTGAAAGCAGTACTTTAAGCGAAATAAAGTTAGACATCTTGTCTGCCTCTCTGAGTTTGAGGTCTGTTTTTTTACCCTGACAGCTCCATATTAATAAAAACTAATAATAATAATAATAATACATTTGATTTATATAGCGAATTTCCTGGTGGTCAAAGCGCTTTTTTTTACAAAAGTAAAAAGTGCTAAGCTAGGTGGAATAAGGGCGAGGCGATAATGGATTAGGAGTTTTAGGCAAGAGTTATAATAGAAAAAACTATTAATATTTGTCCTTCAGGGAAGTTAAATATCTCTGTCAGATAGCGTTTGCCTCTCTGAGTTTGTGGTCTGTTCTTTGACCCTGACATCCCCATATGAATAAAAACTCATATTTGTCCTTCAGGGATCTCCCCCACGCGACAGACCAGTGAAACTGCAGCTCAGGCGGTCTTGTGCCTGGAGGCTGGAGGGATGAATGGCCCGGACAGGCAGCAGGCGGTGAAGGCCAGTGAGAGAACGCTCTGTGCTAAAGTGCCGTTTGAGGCTCATGGATGTTGGCAGCGTGGAGGAGATTTGGCTGGCAGCAGGCACAGGAGCAGCTGGGGGAGAACCGACACGCTGCAGCAGACAACATGCAGGCCTTCATGGGGAGCCCGGCTGGCAAGTCAGTGGCATCTTATAAAAATCTCCCTAAATCTATTAAGTCCAACGGATTTCGGGTGGTCTGAGAGGCGGCCAAAAAGCTGTCTGCTGAAGGGGATAAATCTCTCCAGAAAATGCTGTGTCTGTGCACGATTGGGAGTCTTACGAATCACTACTTAAAGTCTACAACAAGCCCAGGAAGCAGTCAATGGACTAAGATTATCAATTAGAAGCAGATACAGTTGACTTAACATTAAACTACACACACGTTCTGATTAAATGAAACTCTGACACTCAAACTAGGTGGTGGTTAAGTTGAAGAAAGAATTTAAATGTATTTTGTTGTTTTTAAATCACTATTTGACAGAGTATTAGACTCTCAAGAAGTTTCTTAAAGCATCTTGTGTTTGTACAAGAAGCAGATCTGTTTTGCACATCAAGCTGAGCAACATTAAGACCACCCGTCTAGCGGCATTATTATATCCAAATGTTTTATTAGAAATCCTTCCTCGACAGCACCTTTACCTGCAAACTCAGAAAACTGTTGAATAAGGCTGCCACAATAATAGTTTGAAATGTTAATGATATATACTCTTAGATTGTAATCCCATTTATAGTTGTGAAAGCATGGGGAGATTGTCCTACCCAAAGTTTGAAGCTCGGCTGCAGATTTTCTCCAGTTTGCGTCTCAGATCGGGGTCCAGCTCCTCCAGAGAGGGGGGCTCCGGTCTAGGCTCTTCCTTTGGTCCCACGTATAAAACATCTAATGGTGGGTTGGGGAAGTCCACCTGATGGCAACACAATGTCCAGATTTGGGATCAGTTCACTCTTCTGAAGACTCTACGACTACTGTGTCTACTACTACTACTACTGTGTCTACTACTACTACTACTACTGTGTCTACTACTACTACTACTGTGTCTACTACTACTACTACTACTACTGTGTCTACTACTACTACTGTGTCTACTACTACTACTGTGTCTACTACTACTACTGTGTCTACTACTACTACTGTGTCTACTACTACTACTACTACTACTACTGTGTCTACTACTACTACTACTACTGTGTCTACTACTACTACTACTACTACTACTACTACTACTACTACTACTACTACGTGTCTACGTACTACTACTACTACTACTACTACTGCTACTACTACTACTACTACTACTACTACTACTACCACCACCTACTACTACCTACTACTACTACTACCTACTACTACTACTACTACTACTACTACTACTACTACTACTACTACTACTACTACTACTACTACTACTACTACTGACTCTTTTTAAATGCCATTTTCTTAATGTCTTTCATTTGTGTAAAGCACTTTAAATTGCCTTGTGTTGAAAGGTGCTATATAAATAAACTTGCCTTGCCTAACCATCTATCTATCTATCTATCTATCTATCTATCTATCTATCTAATACCAATGCTCGTCTAGCAGCACTAACCTGTAGCACTATCCTCTCGGCGGGCGTCTTCCTACGGCTTCCTGCAGAGCCTCCGGCAGCAGACGCTCCCTCAGGAGACGACCACACACACAACAGCTGACTGCCCCGGGCCAGCACCCTGAAACACACAGTCAGCAATAGTCAGAAAAAACAACAACAAACAGCCAGAATAAGCAATCGTTTCTAAACAGCAGCCCTTACACTGTGGCAAGGAAGTGAACGTGCATGATTTTACAATGTCTTTGTTTTGCTGGAGGTCCATCACAGTAAAAAAAGGGCAACTTTTGGTGTAATAAAAGACCTGTTGAGATTCTGTGTTCATTGAACAAGCAGGAGAAATGTTTATTTACAGCCCAAGCAGTGATTGATAGAGAGGGCACTCGAGGGGAATTAGCAGGCCACTACTGACGTACAAAGAAGACATAGGAACAGAGTAAATGTATGTTTTAAATGTATTTGTACTTATTTCATGAATTTTGATGTATATTTTTCCTTTTTGGAAACCACTTTGTGCTGCATGTCCTGTACAAAAGGTGTAATACATATAACGTTAATTAAATAACTATCTCTGTATGTACTTAATTTCCTTCTGACTGAATTTGCACAGGCATTACCTGTTTTAAAAATACATCTTTCACAACTCAGTGATATTTCATGTTTCATAACAAATGGGACATCCACTCAAATGATATGCAAAAACAAGACCGGCTGCTCTTCTCTCCTCACCGTCTGAAGTCAAACAGCGGCATGGAGACTTTTCCCAGCAGCTCCGGAGCTTTCCTCTGTTTGTTGGAGTCCGGGGAGCCGCTGGCGTTCTGGTTCAAAACCCCGAACAGAGTCAGGCTCAGAGTGGACTCCAGAGGGAGGACCGCTACTGCTATAGGGAAGTTGATCCTGGGAGAGACAAGACCAAGTAAGACGAAGGAAAGAACAGAGCAAATAGCATGTTGTAGTCCTGAGGGAAATGTCAAAGAGGGGAGGAGAGAAAATGTCTATACTTATTTATCAAACAAGGAGACAAGGGATGAGAAGAAAAAGGCGAAATGAAAGAAATAAGAGAAAAGAAAATTAGAGGAAAGGAAAGTTAAGAAAAGGTCAGAAGAGAAAAATATAGAGGGAGAGTAGAGGAAAAACAAGAAGAAGAGAGGAAAGGAAACATCAGGAAATAGGAGAGAAGAGGAAATAAGGTGGAGGAGAGAGGAAAGGATAGGAAAGGAAAGAAGAGAGGCTAGGAAATCACTCACAGTTCGTCCCACTTGATGTGGTAGAAGAAGTTTTTGTATGTGCCCACTCTCTTGGACTGGACCGGTTTGAACAGGTTCTTGCCGTTGTGTGTGAGGGAACACATCAGGAAGTACTTCTCATAACTGCAACAAAACAACACATAACGATAATATTAGCCACTGTGCCCACATGCATATAATTCACTGTAGAAGTGAAAAAAAAGAGTGAAATAGTTGCCAGGAAACGGCCATTACCAGGGACTGTGAAAGACATTGACACTTGCTGAAGAAGTGCCATATTGGTGCATGTGTGTGTAGATATGTACAATTTCCTTTTGTGTGGGTTAACCCCTATGCACTTTGAGCTTGCCTGCCCATGTTCCTGTGTCACATGACTACTGTTGAAGGGCTCACTGCCTTGCTTATGAGCAACTCATAGATAAGTGAGGAAGAGAGCATCATCTTGTTCATGTTCCCCAACTAAACTAGACACGTCAATTTGGGACGTAAAACAGCAACCTACAGGAATTGATGGAATTACAACACTTATTTGACATCAACATAAAAGGTGGCAACGTTTCCATTTAATATGTATTCATTGAATGATTTGATTTATAAAGAAATGTGAAATAGGTCTAGGTGTTTCAAAGAAGTGTAACATACAGGACAGTGTGGGAGTCGGTGCATTCCCACAATGCCTCAGAGGTAACATAACCTGTGTGGGTGGACCATGATGTGCTCTAAAACTACAGTAAAACCACTATTCATACCATATGCTCGCATGCATTAAAAAACAAAACCCTTACAGTAATAACATTTAAAGAGAATAGTGCATGCACATTTTGTTATATAGACAAAAAGGTTTTATATATCCAGATGTGATGCATTAAAACTAATCACTCGATCAAAACATGATAAATAACCCTCTGTGTTTCTATAGGAGATAGATATGCGAGTCGATAAGAGAAAACACACATTGTTCACTACTACAGGCTCGATCCCTGCTCAGTGCCATCTGTGTTGGCAGCTCAGTCAGTGTCTCAATATGTTGTAAATGCGGGGGCATCTACTGAGGCTCCAGATGGATGACACACGAGCCACAACAACTCCAAACACTCAATAAGGTTTACAGTAACACCACAACACAACAGATATGCCTTGATCCTAGACGGTGCTGGGAGACTCGCTCTGTCACTCTGGCTACAAGATGTGAGGAGCTAAATATTTTCGGAGTTGTCTTTGGAATGACTGTCACTGCAGCAATGTTTAGGGCTGGCTTAAAATAGCAGCTGGAAGAGGCAGTGCTGGAGTAAATAGGCCTGTTATTAAGCAGTTCCTCTCGTTATGAAGGCCTCACTGGCTGACCAGGAAATTACTATGGAAGGAAGGGAGTGCAGAAGTTCTTTGAAAACGGACTATAGCTTACTGTCAGGGTTACTGGAGCTACATGTTAAAGGGGCCCTATTATGCTCATTTGCATGTAGATAATTGCATATAATTCCTCTGTTTACACGCTCTAATGTTCGAAAAGTTCTTCACCTCTTTTCACCCTCTGTCTGAAACCAGAGCCCAGTCTGCTCTGATTGGTTAGCTGGCTGGCTCTGTTGTGATTGGTCAACCGCTTAGAGATGTCCCGCCCCTTAGCCAATCACGTACAATTTGATGGAGCGCTTGCCAATAGAAGCGCAAGTGTTACGTACTGAAAGGAGTCAAATGGAGACTCGTTTCAGACAGGGAGTGTGGGAGAGAAACTCCCTCTGGAGGGAACTTTGGGATTTTAGCCTTTGCAGACCATTTACATGCACCAAAACCTAAATGACACACTACAGGAAAGGGAAAACCCTGTCTGTAAAGGACCTTTTTAAAATCTGACCTTAATCTCTTTGCCACACTTTGTCTTGGTTGGTGTCTCACTAAAGTATAACCAAAGGCTGTTCATCATCCAGACAATAGGTGAACAAATAGATGCATATAATCTTCCCATATTTGCTATTATTTTCTGTGCAATTTCAAAAACGTTTGATCCTTCTATCTTTTTCCCTACATCAAGACACCCAAAATAGCGTCTCATAAATGTCTAGACTTCACAAACCTAGGCAACTGCGGGAGGGTTTTTCAGAAAGGCACTGATCCTGGCTACTGATGCATGGCAGAGCTGGGAACGGAACATTTGTCTCGACTCTGTGGCCCAGACACAGGCAGGAGATAAAGTCGGAGTGAAACTGGACACCGGCATGGAAAAAGAAGACGTGGGGTGCAACACCGGAGCCGTTTGTTCAGTAGAAGAAAACAAAACTGTGTGCTGTGACAGCAAAGTCTGCAAGCCTCGGCTGTAATGTGGAAAAACACTGGCTGCTTAACAACATTTTTTATTGTAAAACTGTAATCTAGAGAGAAAGCATTGTATTTTATCATATCGTTGGTTCTTGGGTCCTAAGCTAATATATTCATTTGGCAAACAGGGTGATTAAAATGTTGCACTGCCTTCTTCTGCTTCCTGTCCTTATCTCTGACTCGATCTTTACAATGAAGTAAAGTGTGGGTGGCTCTAATAATACTGAACAAGTGGGTGATTAAGGGCTCTAATTATCCTACAGCAGAGGAAAGAGCACTTAAAATGTCATCATTTAGCATTCATCATGTTGGAATATGAAATGCTCTGCTGCAGAATACATCCAGCTCCAGTCGGTCCTACCCCCTGATGTCATCCTATAACGAGTTTACGGGACAGTTTCCTCCCACAGGCCATCAGACTGTTAAACACCTGAACTTTTGAATGAACATCCATAACATTCATCCGTTTGCATCTTATATATATATATCAATATTCCAATTACTTTTATATAGACTATATATCTATTTTATTTTATTTACTTGCACTATTTTATTATTTCACCTTTAGTCATATATAACCAGATCAAATTTGTTTTATGTCATCTTACATTTTTATTTGGGAGACTATCTCTAGGTTTCATCACTGTGAAAATATACTAACCGAAAATATTTAATTAGTCCAATTGTACTTATTTGACCAACACACATGTTTAAAACAGACAAAGGGTAAGAGCACTCCTGCATTTAACTTGCAACATTATGACACTTGTACTGTTGTATTGCACTATTGTATTTATTTTGATGTATATTGCTATTCTATTTGATTGTATTTACTTGCACTATTCTATCTGTTTTATTGTGTTGCTCTGTTGGAGGAGCCTGTGACCCAAGATGTTCATTGTCATAACTACACTGTAGCTATGTCTAAATGACAAGCCTTGAACCTTGATGCAGCGTGGTTGATCCTGTGTTTACCTGCTGACCCAGTGGGCCGGGATGCCATGCAGCGCGAACAGAGTGAACTGAAGGTGGTCTGTGGTGCCGGAAGCTTCTTTGCTGCTTATCCCCTCCACGCCTTCTCCATCTGCAGCCTGGGGCAGCGGGGGGGAGTTGAAGGAGGTGGAGGGGGGGCAGAAGGAGCGCAGGTAGAGTTTGGCCAGATCGTACACAGCTTGAGTCAGTGAGGCCATGCCCTCCTCCACAGGACTGCTGTGACCTGAGAGAGCAGAACACAGTCATCAGAATACATACGTGGTACAACGACGCCCACACTGCGAAAGGAAAAAGCGTTTTTCCTTGAGCGGATGAAAAAGTTTGTCGAATGGCTCAAGAACCCAGAGGAAGAGTCCGAGGAAGAGGAAGAGGAGACAGACCTCCGGCTAAAACTACCACCTTGATTTGTATTTTGACATTATCATAGCACCAGATGCAGTAGAGGGACTTATTGCAGAAGTCTGTCTGTATTTAGTTTTTTCTGTATTTTTATCTATACTAAAACTGGAATATGGAATACAGGTTTTATTCCAAGCTGCTTTTGAGGTTTGTTGTATACATTTCTATTGTCATCAGCCTAACAAAAGCAAAACCAAAATAAATCCTCACTCCAAATTCTTAAATTGAACTGGGATTTTCCAGATTTCAGACAATCTGTTGCTTATTAAATCTACTTTCTCTTATGAATGTAACTTATTATTCATTAGTGTGTGCGTCCATTTGTGTGACAAGCAACAGAGGAAACCATTTTTTTGAGCCCAGTCGAAATGTTGCTTTTAAAAGACTAAATGTTAACAAATATGAATTAAAGCAGTTTCTTCAAAGCATATTTTGTCAGCTAAAACATGTGGCACATTTGGGAAATTACACTCTGGTTATTGAACATATTGGGATCAAACAAACAATCCTATTCCGCCACTAATCAAATCAAATCAGGTTTTATTTATAAAGCACATTTAAAAGCGATTTTTGGTCGAGCCAAAGTGCTGTACATGTAATAAAAACACAATTACTACAAACACAGTAAACGACAATAAATTACAACAGATATATCTTAAAAACAAAATAAAAATAAAACACACAAAAGTCAGGAGTCGTGCTCCGCTCTAACTAGAAAGCCAGAGAGAAGAAGTGTGTTTTTAGTTTAGATTTAAAAACCCCTAGGGTCTGGGCCGACCTCATTAGATACTAATGATATTCAATTCTACAAATAGTATCATAAAATGTATGAAGCCTGATCTTTTTATCTGAATCTGTCCGGAAACTGGGATACACAGAATGATTACACAAACAAATAGATACAAATTAAACGTTTTACAATTTTAATGCAAGCATTAATGATGCTATGAAGCTTTGAATGATTCATACCGTAATAGAATAAGCCACATAGTCTTTAAATAGCCTTAGAGACTTGACAGTGACTTTATTTAAAAGTTATTTCTGTCTGTTATGCATCTTTGCACCACATTGACATGATAAGCTGCAACAATCACATTTAAATTAAATAAGTGGAGGTGGAGTGTGACTGTGTGTACGTACCATTTGACGATTGACCAGACGATGTGGACCCCATCTGCAAAGCAAAACAAGTTGATCTTACAAACACTTCCTAACATGTAAACAATGCTCTGTATGAGTGTGTGAAGCAGAGTGTTAGCCCACCTTGGGGGAGCGTGTCTGGGGTAAGTTGACGGAGTGTTTCAGCCTTTTGACGGCCTCAGTGATGGCCTGGGTCTCCGTCTCGTCCAGAGCACAGCACAGGTTCTTCAGAGTCTGCACCACCCGCTCCACCGTCTTATACTGGGTGCTCTGAATATAGAGATACACGTTGGTCAGAGGTAGGAAGTAGTGGAGTACAAATACCTCGTTACTGTACTTAAGTACATTACACTACTTATTTTTCTGATCACTTTTTACTTCTACTTCTTACATTTTGAACACAAATACCTGTACTTTCTAGTTCTTACATTTTGAACACAAATACCTGTACTTTCTACTTCTTACATTTTGAACACAAATACCTGTACTTTCTACTTCTTACATGTTGAACACAAATACCTGTACTTTCTACTTCTTACATTTTCCAAACAGGCTGGTTCCTTTAGTTTGAATGTGTGTTTGGTGGCGTGATCATTATTATTTAGAGTCATTGCGTGCCTATTGATTTGAACACGATCCGTGTATCCATCATTTCCTGGTCTTCTCTAAAGAAGAGGGACCAATGAAAACGTTGTCATGTTGCCGTTGTTCAGCATGGAAACATTCATTAGCTAACAATGACATTATTGTTCTATTAATATAAAGGGAGGTCAGGTACTCTTTAAAACAGCTGCTAGTTATGGGTACTTTTTACTTAAGTACATTTCAAAGCCCAAACTTCTTTACTTTTACTTGAGGAAAGGAGTTTAGTCAGTACTTCTACTTTTACCAGAGTATTTCAAACACGAGTATCTGTACTTCTACTTGAGTAAAGGATGTGTGTATGTATGTGAGTAAAGGATGGAGGTGTGTGGCGCAGTGGACTAGTGCGTTGGTGTTCAGATCAGGGGAGGTTCAACAGGTTCAAACCCCACTGCAGTCAGCATGTCGTTGTGTCCCCGGGCAAGACACTTCACCCCAAATTGCTCCTGTGGGGATTGTCCACAGTATTGAGTATGTAAGTCGCTTTGGATAAAAGCGTCTAACAAGTAACATGTCATGTAATGTAATGTGTATTTTTGACGTTGTTGTAGCAAAAAATACTATTATTTGAACATGCTCATAACAGCCTGTTGTGAGAGGTATATCCTACACTTTTGTTTTCAGCTCGTCTCTAAACAGTAAACCACATTGTTAAAAACAAGACTCACACATCAGGAGGCCTCTGTGAGAGAACACCAACAATTCATCACACAGACTCTCATCTAAACACTGATTTTACTCAAACACGTCGTAATACAACATCATTTGCATGCTAAAGGAGCATCAATCACTGAACATGCCATTATTCTGTCAAGGCACACTGGATAAATCTTGATTCATTCATTAGGTTAAAGTCGTGTTGAGGTGGGGAGTGGAGTTTAGCTTCAGTCTGCATTCAATTACTCAACAGTAACCCACACAGGCTGAAAACCAGATGTGGTATTTCTAGAAAGCATGCCTTCAAGGTATGTAATGGTATACTCAGATTTATGTCTGGGGTAGACATCACAAGACCAAGTTCAGACTCATTCTTCCGTTACATTGAGTTACAAGGGAGCTTCACAAAGATCCATTTTAAAATCTTTCTACACATGAATATATTCAGGACGTGTCAATAGATGGTCTACACATTTAAGCTACTCTTGTCATTAGTTTAAAAAGATATAAATACCCTCTTGGGGGGAAGGCTAAGAATTCACAGCACAATGGGAGGCAACACAATTTCATCACATCATACGAAATCATCAAAATATGTGTCCATGTTTTTACTTTTCAGAACTGCAAAGGGACGACACGTACCTCATTTTGAAGGCAGATGTTGACCTGATTGTGATATCCTTCTAAATAATCAGCCAGCCCTTGTCTGCAAGAAGTCACACACAAAGAGAGAAAAGTGAGGAATGAGAAAGAAGAGGACAAACTGTGTTTCAGTTATTATCAGTGATAGTCAGATCAGGAATGAATGTAAAAAGTGCACTTTAGGTAACCATAAACAAGTAGTAGTAGCGTACTATAGGAAAGGGAAAACCACAAAAAGTATATTTGGGCCTCTTTAACTTAAACTAGGTAAACATTTTGAAGACAAGACTTGAGATTAACCTAAAAGAAAACTGAGTGTATCATGGTTCTTCAGAAAATCATTTCCAATCTACAAAAATATATAGATTTTCCCATTAACCATAGGGCCTTCATACCTGGTGACATTCTCCTTGAACGGCCTCTCCACTTGGCTCAGGTGCTTCTCCAAATCTATCACAGAGACGTCATCTTCAGCCTAAACAAAATCAATCAAGGTTCATTAATGAAGCACATCAAATGATATCATTGAGATCACAATTAGTGTGTCAGCAGGGGGGCACACGTTGTAAGTGAATCTTTAGTGGCTCAACACGACATGTACTATGAGACAGTTCAATCAAATATCCTGTAAAGTTTTAAAGAGCTCATATGTTAGCGTGATGGAGTGACGTACGCTGCGAGCCAAGTCTCTTCTCATGGTGGAGTGAGAAAGGAGCTGTAAAGTGATCTCGTTCTCCCACTTCCTGCAGTTCTGGACGTACTCATGGCTGCCCAGGCTGTGTTTACTGTGGCACAGAGAGGAGAGGTTAAGAAAACCATGGTGTATGATGAAAACACATTAACTGATAAACACTTTCACAACTGAAGCCAGCCTGGATTATCCTGACTATTTAGTCTCTATTTTGGGGAACAAAACAATTTAACATTGTTTTAGTAATTGGTTGTTGAGGATATGTAATCACAGTGTCATAAAAACAAAAAAGTAGACAATATAAGAATGAATAGAAATATAGACATATCAAAATATAAAAAAATTATAACAATTTTAATTTATTTTCATGGCTATGTTTATTTTTGTATATATTTATTTATATATCCTTTATTCATTTATTTTGCACATATGAATTGATAATTATTTTATATAATCATATTTATTTATATCCCTTTATTTTTTATAATTATTTCCCCTTTGCTTTTGATATTGATATTTCAAAAATGATTACAGGCATCAAGGAAAACACAACAATCTTGATGTACAGGTGTACGGCTTTCATTGTATTTGTAAAGGTTAAAACCATCTAAAAGCACACACAGGTTTCTGCCAAGCTACCTCAAATTAAAAACATCAAGTCATATATTCATAGAAATGGCAACAATGATTTATGGGCATCCTGGTTGTATTTTGAACACACAGTACACACAGCATTCATCTGTTGAGCAGCAACAGATGACTTATGTAACTTTGAACATTTGAGTGCACTGGGCCTTTAAGTCGTGCTATGGGAGTAACCATTCCCATGTCTCCCAGATTAGAGGGAGAAGAGACATTCCTCTGTGGAGGAGGTGTAGGAGGGAGGGGGGGAAAGATATAGAAACATCCGCCAGTCTCTTTTGTACAAGATTTGAGCGGATGCTAAGAGTGATAGAGAGAAAGGGGGAGGGTCGAGTTGAGAGCATAAGAAAACAAACCTATCCAAGACCCTGTGAATAATTAGGAAAACTGCAGAGTCAGCATGGGAGAAAAAAAAAAATTCCTAACATGTTATGGAGCTTCTTCTTATTCAACATTCTTGTGTACTCACTTCTGCAGCACCTCCTCCCTGCCGCAGACTTTGAGCAGGTAGCTGGAGAAGTCCACCTGGTCCAGGTCATCATGAACCCAGCACAGAGTCTGACTGATCAGCAGCTCCACAGGAGAACTCACTGAGGAGGAGGAGGAGGAGGAGATGGAGGGGGAAGAGAGGGAAGAAATAGAGGGTGTTCAGGGATATTGATGGAGGATAAGGGATGGAGACAGATGTGAGGGAAAGAGTGAAAGAGGGATCAGGCGTTGGTGAAAAGACAGAATGAAGAGAAGGGAGGAAAGAAAAACAGACAGATGACGTTATAAAAATGAGGTCAAATGCTTTTAAAATCCCTTTATCTAGAACTCATATGCATGTTTAAACCTAAAAGAACATACTTAGTCTGAATAAGATAGCATATTCTTTATTGTTTTCTATCCAGTCCTTTATATGCTTCAATGATCTTATTATTCTGGTGTTGTTGCTCACTCTAGATATATGAACTATTGTTAGACTTCACTTACAGGAAACTAAAAACAAGAGGGAACACGATGAAAGGTGTGTCAACATGAAGTGGCTTTGTGGTGGCTCACGAGAAGAAACACAGGAATTTTTGCAGCAACGTATCCCACACATGGACACATTTTAATAGGAGGGATCAGAGGTAAGGTGCCAATCATGTCATGCAACAATATCATACAATTGACTAAAATAAGACAGACTTATTGAAAATGAATACCCATTTGCTGCTGTGGGAACTGAACGCTTGATTTTAATATATGGGATTTCTCTCCCACCGCAAACCATGCTGCCATGTTTTAAACGGATCATGTTTCAAACCTGTTCTCGAATCAAAGGAACTACAGCTGTGTGTGCTGTGGGAGGATATTATTCGGGGGTGTTGGGGTTAGCTCTAGATGTTTGTGTATGTTCAGATATCTGATTTGTCTGGCCGGGGAAAGACTAATAGAATACATGTCAGATTATTGTGCCATTTCTGACGAGGTTTAAACCCACTCTTAACCTCGCCGTCAACAAACACGGGCAGACAGATACACACACAGAACCATCTCACTAAGCACACACACTCAGGTTACTTAACAGACAATCACACACACACAGAGGGAGACAACCCCCGGCAGTAACACACCTCCACCCTTCAGAGTAATGGTGCGTCTTACAGCTTATATCAGTAGCGTTAGGGTCCTCTGTGTGTGTGTGTGTGTGTGTGTGTGTGTGTGTGTGTGTGTGTGTGTGTGTGTGTTGGAGTGTTGGAGTGTTTTGTCACAAAGCCATTAGACTGGCTACGCCTAATTCTGTGTGAGCTGGTGAGGGAATTCCTGGCGCTGCATTTTTTTTTAGGGTACAACTTCAAAAGAGGGGAAGATTTCTCCGTCGCATCCTGTTAACCATTTCACACATGGTTGGGGAATAGTGTTGGCAGGGTTAGATATGGGCACACGCCCAAACATTTTCGGTGAATTCAACAATAAAGTGGTGGAAGAAGCACCCAGATGTTATACTTCAGAGCAAGTAGTAATACTAGAGTGTAAGGCTGAGCAATATGTAGATATTTTATTGATTTTATGGATGTGATTTTCTGATTTGAGACCATTCTAGCTGTATTTGTCATTGTACATTTGACATTATATGCACATAACAGATGATTATTAATCAAAAATGACATTGTAAAAGCACCGATAGTAAACCCTTAAATATTGTCGAATAACAAGGTATGTGGTGAGAAATATTTGTTATAGTGCATATTTATCCATGTATCTTTACTTGGAGTGTTAGCATCAACATAAAAATAAAGTACAACAAGTAAAAGTATTCATTATGAGCGGCCATTTTTGAGTATCCCTTGTACATCTCCATTATCTACAATCTCCATAATGATAAAGGTGTTTTTCTAAATATTTGTTATAATAATATATCATAATCTATTAGTTAATTTATTTTATGTATTAATAATGTAGATCTGCAAAGTGGCTAGTGCTTTAAGTTATCAAATAAATGCATGAGTAAAAGTATAAAGTAGAATTAAAGGTGGGGTAGGTAATTCACTTCAGAAACACTTTTTGTTATATTCCATGGAATGCTCTTAACATCCCGATAGCAATGAATACATTAAATAACAATGTCATCTGTGGAAGCCGTAGTACTGTAAAAAGCACGACCAATCATCTGAGCCGGCCCGGCTAAAATAACTGGATGGCCTACCTGCCTGTCAGCCTTCCATCTGTGCACAAGCTTATCTCGTGCCCTCATTGGTCATGTGCGCGTTCGTGTGTGTTGGAGGAGGGGCTCTGTAAGGAAGTCTGAAGGAAGGGGCAGATTTTTTCCGGTTGTGTACTTTCAAATTCTAGCGCACTCGAGCTGGTTTCTCCATTCTTACCTACCATACCTTTAAGTGAAAATAATCAAGTTCAGTAGAAGCACCTCAGATTTCTACTTAATACAGTACTTGACTAGATATATACTTATTTACATTCCACCTCCGACAAAAACACACAGTTGTCTAAGGACTAAGGAGTAAAGTGGGATGGAAAAAAACAATACGTCAATAATTCAAATGTAATCAGCGTAACTAGTAACTTATGGAGGATTCAGGTCCAATAGCTATCGTGTTTGATCCACAATGCCAAGGGTGGCGAGATTGCCTACATATTTCAGAAGGGAAGGAGGAATGACCTAATTCCTACATGACTCAGAGCAAACAGAGATTTGTGCTTCTGTGACAAACCCAACTGTCAGACTCCGAGGCAAATGGAAAGAAATAATTAGAAACAGAGTCAAATGTTATAAACAGGGTAGGAAAAGTAAGAGTTTGAGGCTGAAATGCGTGCATATTCTAAGGCGTATTTAATCTGTTTCAGTGACTCAAAGATGCTCTGGACTCATGTAATCTAATCTCTCCGCAGCTGAACTCTCACCTACAGTAGAAACGTCCTGCATGTCACGGACACGCTACATAAAAACAAACAAAGCAGCATGTTGTCCTCGACAAATAAAGACATCTTGAGACAGACTGTAACAAGATGCATCAGGGCTTTAGGTTCTATCAGGCTAGATTGGCTGTTTTTTGAAACTCTGAATTTAATTCTAACTCAATTGCTAGTTTATATAATCAGGGTTCATACACTTTTTCACCAATGATTTTCAATGACTTCTCCATGACCTTTACCTAATTTTCCATGACCAAAAAAGCGGTACCACTGAAAATGGTTTATTTTAACATGGAACAGGAAAATAAGGTCTGCATATGAAACATGTTGTGCCTATCTAAAACAAATCAAATAGTAGGCTTACTAGCTTCTACACGCTAAAGCAACCAGCAAAATACCTCGTCAGTTAAATGCCATTTTACGTTTCATTACTATACGATACAGTATTTATTATCATTATAGTATTACTATTTCGGCGATTAGATAAAATATAAATTATATTTGATGCAACTTTAGTTACATTTCCAAAACTTTGGGAAAAATATTGTTTTCCATAACTTTTCCAGGGCCTGGAATTAGCTTTTTGAATTTCCATGACTTTTCCAGGTTTTTAATGACCGTAAGAACCCTGTATAATGTACACAGGACTACAACTAAAGCAGTAATCTTTACGTGTGAGATGAGGAACATCGTGGTGTTTTCTCCTCTCCTACACCCTATTTTCTGCAGTAACCTGAGCACATTCCCAGCATTTCTCCCCTCTGTCATCATTTTTAGAATATATTCAATATTCAGAATCTAATTAAATGTCTCCGTCTGTATTTATAAAGTAATCTCTTTCCCGTATTCTCTCGTGTCCCTCCCTCCCATTTCTCTCAGCTATTGCTCAACCCTTTGCCCTTCTCTCTGTCTTTTTCGCTCATTTTAGTATTGCTTTTGACGCATTTCTATCTTTTCCCCCTCTCTTACTCCTTCCATCTCTCCCTATTCAGCCACAGTATGTCAGGAATCCTCAGAATCCGAGGAGTTCAGTCTGGAAGAACAGATTGGCTTTCTTTCCGCCAGCTCTCTAGAAAAAAAGGGCAAACGCAGAGATGCCACAGCAGAATGAAACAGAGAGAAGTACAGCAGATTATTTATTCTAATGTGCTTTTTGAACTGTTGGCAAATATATTGATGTATTATGCCAATCTAAGATCACTCTTTACTCAACAGACCCGTGACAGGGTATATGCAGGAATCCTGAAGTCAAATGTAAGACCTTTTAAGACCCTTTCCATACATTTTAAGACCTCATCGCCACTTGGAGTTTTAACCGGTTACATTGGCGACACACTTTACCTCACATTGACTATATACAGTATTGATTGTCCTTCCTCCTTATCTTCCAACCATTTGGACGCAGACTTGCATTTCCCCATAACGATGTTGTTTAACAACCGGAGTAAACGGACCTTCGCGCGCTATCAAGCAGTGAGCGTGTGATGTCCTGTTCAGATGACGTCAAATCCAACGGGATGCCATAAATAAACTACACAGAATCACACTACACACCTACGCAATGATTACATTCAGGCAGACTGTAGAATACAACCTCTTTGGACAATTTATATACTTATTGAAAACAAGCTACAAAATGTAATACCTTGGAAAATGACGTTTAATACTTTTTAATAGCCTTCATTTTCACTAAATTGATTTATCAACTTCTAATACTTGTTAAGACCCCGCGGACACCCTGCTTGAGAGGCGCTATACAAATGTCATCTATTAATATTATTATTAAGTATTGTAATAACTTCTGCATTATTGAGTAAAAGTTGCTCATTTCCACAGCAGATAAAAGTAAAAAATGAAATATAAACGTAAGATAGTAAGACTAAAAGATGAAAGTAAGAGAAGAGAGAGTGAGAATGGAAAGACTAAGGAGAAAAGATCAAATAAAGAACAGGAGATCACAGCAGAGGGAGGCAAGGAAGAATACTATAAAAAGGACAGAAAGGTGAGTAATAAACGTTTTCATTATTCGTGTTAATCTGTATAGTCTCTGAGGTGAGGCAGGTTCAAGAGACAACATTGCAAAACAGAGAGGAAGAGGAGAGAAGGAAGGATGAGGAAACAAGGGTGGAGGAAAATATTGAAATGCACGAAAAGGGAGGGACAGCTGGAGATAGGACAGTGGAAAGAACAAAGAAGAGGCGACACACGGAAATAAATGAAGAATGCTAAATTCTCTTCCTGTCCTCTATCACTGTCTCAGTCTTTCTATCCACGCTTCAAAGTAGAACTGAAGCCTTTTGTTTGAGAAGAGCAGATTCCAGTAATGACCCGAGGAATCCAAACACCAACAATGTGGGTCAACGCGCGACATAGGAAGTACAACCAGGAAACAAACTCATACTAGGAAAGAAGGAAATGCATCTAGGAAGTGACCAGTAGGATGAAAGGAGATGAACTCAGCAGAGGCAGGAAGACAAAGTAAACTAGGAGTCAACACAGGAAGCTAGGAAAGTACAATTAGGATGAGTGAAGTAGTAAAATATACTTCCTATAGGTTGTTGCTGGGCTATACAGAGCTATACTGTGCGAGTCAATGAGACAGTCTGTTACATATGGAGAGTGCTTGAAGGGGCCCTATTATGCTTTTTGGGGATTTCCCTTTCCTGTAGTGGGTTATTTAGGTTTTTGTGCAAAAGGTCAGTAAAAGATAAAATCCCCGTGTTATCCCAGAGGGAGTTTTTATAGAGCGCTTGTTGAACATTAAGGTGCTGTTTACACGAGAACGCAAACGGTTGTATCCGCTACTTTTCTCTTTCGTATAGCCCGTTGGTTCCCGCGAGGCCGTAACGGAAACGCAGAAACGGACCCCACAAACGATAACGGGTCCCAAGGTGGATACATCTGCAAACGGAACGCTCTGGGGGGGGGCAAACGGCTCCGTGTGTACGCCCTATACCATCATTTCCTGATAACGATGAAGCCATAGCCCCGCCTCTCCCCACCTCTGCTGCTCACTGCTGTAGCATGGTCAGTAGCTACTGTCAGTAGCCACTGACCATGCTACAGATGTTAGTGCAAAATCTACAGCTCCTCTACCACAACCATCAGCAACAAGTGGACATGGAGAATTACATGAACTACATGTTGCGGACATCCACCACGGAGAATAAACAGAAGGGCAACCATGGCAGTGTCCGGCAGTGGCTCAGTCAGTAGGGGCTTGGACTGTGAGCCGTAGGGTCGCCGGTTCAAGTCCCCGACCAGACCTAAAATATGGAGTGTGGACTTCTACTTGGAGAGGTCCCAGTTCACCTCCTGCCCTGCCGTGGTGCCCTTGAGCAAGGCACCGGACATCCCCCTTCCCCCCCCTCACTCCCATTGCTCCCCGGGCGCTGTACAATAGCTGCCCACTGCTCCTAGTACTAGACTCCTGGTATTAGGATGGGTTAAAAGCAGAGAACAAATTTCACTGTGTGTGTGCTGTGTGCTCTGCATGTGTGACCATTAAAGAGGGGTTTCATCCCTCCCTATTCTAAATTCTTCTAAATTCTAATGGCAACCATGCTCGGGGGTCTTCTTCGCTGCTTTTGGTGTATTTTGTGGCGGAAGTACAGCGCCACTTACAGGCCCGGCATATGTACTACAGCGTCTCCAGCGCTTTCGAGCGGTCTCGTGTAAACGGAAGACTTTTTTGTTATCGTATTTGGTTCGTTTGCGTTTCCTATGCGATTGCGTGTAAATGGGGTCGAAAGCATGGAGACATGTCATGTTAGCATAATAGGGACCCACTCAGGGACCCACCGACACAGTAATGAACTTGTGTCAGGCATTTAGGGTTAATTTGCCTGACAAAAGGCTAACAGGACTGGCTGACTGCCCCCAGTGTGCTTTGCTTAACATCCCAAAAGACGTGTCAATCACAGTAGTTGTAATGTTGTGTAAGTATAACGAGAGGTCAGCCAATAACAGCTCTCCAAAACACCCAGGGAAGGAAACCAAAGATCTGAGTTGGCCCTCTATGGTCTCATGGCTACTGCATGGTGAGGGGACAAACCTTTATTTGTGCGGAAAAGGAACGTAGTGTACTTCCCACGCCAGAAATAAAAAGAAAATAACAAGAAAAAAAACCGAGGTGGGGGTTAAGATTTGGCAGCTGTGAATGTCGTTTCCTCCTTCAGAGCGCTCATATCTGCAATCTGAGCTGCTCACTCTACGAGGAAAAAAGGGTACAAGTTTCTCTTTGGGCTGACTACAGTGGGATGGTGTTTTATCTGCACTTCCTAACATTGGGCTGCTTTTGCAATTAGATGCATGTCCATTTAAAAAAAATAACAATTGAAATGTATCTAAAAAAACATAGGATAAAAGCTGCGTAAATAGTATATTTGTTCACGATCAAAAGCCATTTGAGAATTGTAGAACTTGCATTGTCCAGCTAATGAAAAATATCATGATATCTGGATGTAAATCTGTGTAATACTTATTAAGACAACCTTATTCAAACTCCTTACCACAAGTTTAACTTATCTTAGACCAATAGACCTCATAATCTAAATTAAACCATATCTTTTTATTAAAAGAAAGGCGAAGAAAATGTTGAAATCAGAGGAATATATCTTGATGGATATACAAATTAGTATATGTCAAAGTTTAGTCAGGATCACCTTTTGAAACCATTTAAAATGTTTAGTGGCACCATATATTGACACCAGATGGTAGCCATTAATAAAACACACAATTTAATAAAAGTACATTTCTTTATCTCAATGAGACTTTCCTGTTTAAATAAAGGTTAAACTCAATTAACCATCCCTGTTATTTGTGTGGCAATAACATGAAATTAACTCTTATTCCATTTAGAAATTCACAGGAGGGTGAAGAACTGGTTCAAAGATGGTTTGTTCACATTTCTCTAAGATTTCACATTTGTGTAACTTACCGTCACAGGTGAAGGTCACAGGCTGTTGAGACTCTGAGATTTCAATAGAAACTTTGACAGAGCAGCTGTTCTCTCCTCCGCTGTCCCTCTGCGTGATGACCGGGCTCAGGACGTAGCCGGGGTTGGTGGACGCGGCGTCATGAGGGAATTTGGAGCGCAGACTGAAAGGGAAACAAATAAAAACATTCACAACAGAAGGAGAATCAACACCTTTTGTCTCTACTTAGCCAGTGAACAAAGTTTGCACAATCTATGGACAATTTTGCGCTAATTGTACATTCCCAAAGATATTGAAGTGACTGTTATTTTGTATATAGATTGTTGTGTTTTTATTTAGGTCTTAATGTGTGCACATGTAAAAATGTGTCTTTGATTCTGTGTATACATATTTGCACACATATTTTTTTATATACATTTGTTTTATATTCGGGATTGTGGGAAACGGTATCTCTCTGTCTGTACTCACAAACTGAAACATTTGACAATAAAGTTGACTTTGAAAACACAACAGCCTGAAACATAAATCTGATTGCTTGGATGAGTGGAAGAAGATGCATTATGGGTAGTCTAAAAGGAAGATTGATGGAGGGGAGAAGGAGAAATTAAAATCTGAAAACAATTATTTGGACACTGATAAGTTACCACTTCTAATCAATATAGCGTTCTTGCACTGTATCATAACCCTGTCTTTAATGTCTTCTCTGTAATAGTTTTGGCTTGGGTAGTTGGGAGGGTAATCGATGATGAAAATGCTTTGGAATTATGTTTCACATTTTTCTTCATTTACAGTCTTATGGGAGGTTAAGTTACTTGTGATTGAGTAGAGAAGCAGACAGCAGGCGTTGACTGTGGATTCCCTGAGCACAGCTTCATCATCACTCCACCCAAACTAACTACTGGAGAGAAACACTAGGTACAGGCTCAGGAAACATGCAAAACATACAATTATGTTTATAAATGCAGAACAATGCCTAACTATTCACATACAAATGAGAAGAAATGCTATGTTAAGCCTAGTTATGCTCTAGGGAGGTCGATGGTGGTCACTTTGGTTATGACTGAATTATCTCAACAACTACAGGATGGATTGTCATGAAGTTTTGCACGGACATTCATGGACCCAAGATTGTAAAATCTAATAGGTTGGCACACATTTGTACAGAAGTTCTAAGTTATCAGTTGGTGACTTGAATTGAGTTTGTTATAAGGCCACCATAAGGCTGACATGTAGTTTTGAGTGAAGAGCTTTATTGAAATGTTTGATACCATGATTGGTTACACCTGGACCAACTGCAGCTGTAACATATTTACCTGCAGAGGCAAATGTAACATCATTACCTCCCTTTTGTGTAGGTTTTTCTACTCTGTTGGATTCTTTAGATATCAAATATACTCCTGAAGAGGTTAGCTTAAAAGGTGGAGTAGGTAATTCACTTCAGAAACACTTTTTGTTATATTCCATGGAATGCTCTTAACATCCCGATAGCAATGAATATATTAAATGCTTTGACAATAAATACATTAAAAAAAATGTCATCTGTGGAAGCCGTGGCGCTGTAAAAAGCACGACCAATCATCTGAGCCGGCCCGGGTCAGATAACTGGATGGCCTCGTGCACAAACGTATCTCGTGCCCTCATTGGTCATGTGCGCGTTCGTGTGTGTTGGAGGAGGGGCTCTGTAAGGAAGTCTGAAGGAAGGGGCAGATTTTTTTCGGCTGCGTACTTTCAAGTTCTAGCGCACTTGAGCTGGTTTCTCCATTCTTACCTACCCTACCTTTAAGGAAGCATAAGCATCAGTTATATCGGAACTGGAGAGTATCTATTCGATTTAAAGAAGATGAAGGAAGGGCACTGAAGGATTTTGTCGTGGTTTTTTTGACAGTCTAAAATATGTTTTCGACTGGCTTTGCTGAGGGTTCGATTGACTGATGGTGCATCCGATAAGCAGTTTCCAATGATGCATTATCAGATAGTTCTGTAAACAAATCAACTTATGGTCCAAATGGCCTCTGTTATCGCTTTCCTTTCACTAAAGTGGCATAGGTTGGCAGGGGAAGAATTTCAGCCATTTTGACATTGATAATATTAATCATATAAATAAGTCTAGAACACCCAAACAAGCAAAGAAGGGGAAGAATAATCAACAGAGTGTTTTTTTATGCCATCTGGAAGGCTCTTACGTTGCTACGTCTTCACAGAAGGCGACAACCTCCAGGTTTTGAGCGTCCCGTTCCTCCAGGGCAGCATTCTTCAACAAACCTTTTCCTTTTCCTTTGTCCTACAGGAGCAAAGAGCAGACACACACAAAATGTCAGCGGACGAGAAAAGGACATGAGTAACAGGCTTACGTCAAACAGAAGCAGGCCAGGTGGAGACAGGCAGGACATGAGGACAATGAGAGGCTGAGTTTCATTTATAGTGCGTCCAACACATATGAGCTCATTACATCAGGAGTGACTGGGGACTACAAAGGGCATTTTTAATGGAAACACCTCGGAGCTATGAATCCTGCAGAGTGAAAACACGGCCTGACACAAACAAATAAAAACACACAAAGGGTCTCCTGCCCCCTTTATGCCTTTGTCTCTTAAATCGTGAAAAAAACACATTGATGTAACATTTAATTAGTTTTTTATACGTAAATAAAAATCAAGATTGAAACAGCCTCTCTGGGACATACAATTCCCATTATACACACCAGAGCTGCTCTTTACTTACAGTTAAGTTTAATAAAGTCATATTATCATCAAAGATAAGATGCCAGAGTTACAAAAGATTCAGTACATTAAACACAAGACTAATAATAACAATAATACCAATACAACTGTACACTAACAGAGCAGTTCAAGAGCAATTTAAACAATAAACTAAAAGAAACGATGGACAAATAATGGCTGTAAGAAACTACACAATGAAGAGCGGTATTGTTTTTTCTTTTACTCATGTTTACTTAATATTTAAAGAACCGAGTTGACAGTTTTAAACCTGCTTCTTTCTCTTACACGCACACACACACACACTCTCACACCCACAGATCCTGAGACAGCTCCCGTAGGAATCACTGAGAGAGATTCCTGGCGGCTGGCCTGTTGCCGGGAACTCGCAGTTACACTTTTAACGGCTGACTTACTGCCAGCGACACAGGAATGTGCTTCCTGTGGCACAGGAAATTAGAAGGGAAAGGCCCCGCCCCTTCCTGCACAGGACTCTGGGCTTTCTGCAAAAAAAAAGTGGCCTGTCATGGCTTGGAAATCTGCGAGTCTGACATCACTCAGGGAAGAGAAGGGAGAGGAAATGTTTGGAATGTGATAATAATCCTCAAAGATTTATGAGGAGATTTTGAACAGAGAGTTTTTATGAGCTCAGGGCGACGTACGGCTTATTTTGTAAGGCTAATGACGGTGAAGATAGAAAAACGTTGTCATGGCTTGTTGGAAGGCAAGTCAATTAACTTTTTATAGTTCTTTTAAGTTGATGGATGATTAGAATGTTTTCCCGGAGCCCAAGAGAATTTATATAATGTTTTGTCTGAACATGTAAAAAATGACTTTTTTTTTTTTTTTTACCATCGACAATTATAATACAAAGAAAATCCTCACTTTGGAAAATCTACAAAAAAAATTTAACAATTCTGTATAACATATGATTTTACCTACACATGACATAGCTGCCAATGAAGATTCTGCTAATGAATTTCATTGAGTGACCATTTTGAGTTTCCATTAAATACAGTTAAATCATCTTTTTCCTCAACCAACCCTAGGGTGGCCTGGTGGCAAAGTAGTTAAAGAGCATTCATATTTAATTTGGCTATAAGACAATATATATTCTATGATCCTGGTTTGATGCTAGCCAGGGATCTTTGTTGTAAGTTGAACCATGTAAAATCATAAAAGGGCACGCAGGCGATTCTAAATAAATATACTGCTTTTGTGACGGTGTTTAAGGGGTATTTAAAAGTATGTATTAACAAAAACAAACCCATGACTGAGGTTGGTAAAAGCGCTCGTGCTTGCTCCCCCGTGTTTCAAGTCAAATAAGGCAACAATACCAAGAAATTATCTTAAAAAGAAAAACACAAAAACTTAAATTACAAAGATCACAACTTCCAGAATCCGAGATATTTCTTGAACCATAACTTCAGAGAGCTTTGTTCCAAGTGCTGACCTGACACAACGCCAGGAGATAGAAATCTCTAAGTCAGCATGTGGAAAGGAGGCCAAGCATGACACCAGACCACCTGCACCTCCCAAAACAGAAGCAGAGAGGGGGGGGGGGGGGGGGGAAACTGGGTTCCTGATGCACCAGTTCTCTCTCAGATATTCAATATTGCTGCACACAAAGCTGTTAGTGTTTCAATGTGACTATTTGTGGAATAACAATAACAAAAACAAAACTGAATCAATAAACAGAGTGAGGCGACTGAAAAAAAGCAGAATGTCAAAAAGGGAGAGTAAAGAAGATAGAGAGACTTGTTAGAAAGCAAGAGACTAAAAGAGCACTTTAGCAGGGTACACACACACACACACACACACACACACACACACACACACACACACACACACACACACACACACACACACACACACACACACACACACACACACACACACACACACACACACACACACACACACACACACACACACACACACACACACACACACACACACACACACACACACACACACACACACACACACACACACACACACACACACACACACACACACACACACACACACACACACACACACACACACACACACACACACACACACACACACACACACACACACACACACACACACACACACACACACACACACACACACACACACACACACACACACACACACACACACACACACACACTTCACCGATTTTAGTTGGACGCGGCAGAGAGCTCCTGGTGTCTGAAGTCATGGGAACGGCTTCATAGGATTCACACTAATCCTTTCTCTGCTTTACTGTGGTGTTTCACACACTGACCGTAATACCGAGACACACTGTACACTATAGAACGGAAGATGTTAATCCCGATGGTGGCTTGTCATGGGGTGTGTGACCAGAACCACGCTGATTAATGACAGAAACCTAAACAGAGATTACTTTAATAAAAACTCAGTAGTAGAATATTTGTTGTTGTATCTGGTCACAGTCTAACAAATGTCTCATGATGGATTTGCTTAATGGATTTTTCCAAACGTTTACACAGACAAGGCAAAGGGCTTGATAGATAAGTCACTTTTCCACACTTTCATGAAAAACCTTTGATATACCCGCTCTGACAAATCTCTTTAAGGGCAAGATTCAAGTCTGAAAAAGAGTGAGACAATCAATTATGAAACTCCTGCTTCTACGCAATGATGTAAAACTATTCAAGCCATTTTTCCAATGTAACTCATCCCCATGGTTGAGTGGCTATTAAAAGTTTTAAAAGTATTAAATAAGGATGTTTTAATGATTAGTTTTCCTTTAATGGATACACAACAACTTCCGCTCCTTGGCTGTGTCTTGTGTTGAACACAGGGATTACATTTCTAAGTATGCTTCAGTTGTGAGAGCACTTTAACCTACCCTCAAGTGTGGATTTTAGAACAGGTATAAACGTTGTAACTTTCAGAGGGGCTCGAAAAACTCCTGTGGTATTTTGAACACTAGTAATACTACGGAGCAATGAAATGAGTGGGTTCACGTTTGGCATGTTCTAGTGAACACACACAAAGACACACAATCAGCGCCACAACCCCCCACAAAATGACACTTTGTATTATCAGAATTTGACCCCTTCAGTCCCATAGGGGAAATTCCAGAAGAATGTGTTATCCCATTCATGTGTGCGGGGAGCCAACAGGAAGTGTCAGACCAGCTATCGTCTATCATGTAAACAATGCAGTTGTCAAAAATCTTTAATGTTTATGAGAAAGGAAATGTATTCGTTGTATTTGTTCGTTCACAAAGAGACTCCACAGGGTACCTAGAAGGTGTTTTAATATTTGCTTCTGTTGACTTTTAGATTATTTCTCCCGTCTTAGTTTAGTAGGTCACTTTGTTTTGTACTTACAATAGTTCTAGGTTTTATAACAGAGCAAATATTCTAACCAGTATAGGCGTCCCATTAAAAATAGTACAAGCAAACAACGAAACATTGATGAACAATTCTTCTTTATCAATTTTTTTAGATTATATTGCGTTTATCAATCTTTCCATTAAACTGCTTTTTGTTACGCTCGTTTTAAAAAGCTTTTCACTATCTGAATCAAGATATACACATCCCTCAAAGGCCTTTCGTGCTTGATGCTGATGATAAACAAGGTAGCAGAATGTTTTTGTATGACTGTATTGTCTGTCAGCAGACACACGAGTTACAACATGGTTAGCTTGAGGAACTTTGTGGTGCCGCAGTCACGCAGGACGCCTGAGCAGTGGGAGAACTGAGAGGCTCAGCCAACCACAGTCACGTCTGGAGGCTGATGGTAATTCCAAGCCCGACACCAGTATTGAGTTACTACACATCCAGACATTAGACACCTCCGTGTAACGAAAACTACACCCAGACAGCCCACAGAAAACCTGCACTCAAATATTCACAAGCCAATAATTCACCAGCCTACAAGTTGTGTTGTACAAGTTGTAGGCAACACATGATGGGTTACTTAACTGTAAAATATTTCAGTTTTTAAGTGCTAAAACTTCTAATCTCTACGAACAAATAGCTACTGTAAATTCAGGCATTTATCTGACACTCAAATGACCTGCATGTCTCATCACAGTACAAGCTAAATGTAGTTTCTCCAGGCTTCATTTCACAATATAACTTTGTATGGGAAATGCAGTCGTGCGGATGCAGCACTTACTGAAGAAATTAAGATTGATTTTAATGTTTTGTGGATACTCAGCTACCCATTACCGTCAGCCTAAATGATTATGACAGCCTGTGTGAACAAAATGTTCTGAATAAGGATGCAGCTTCATGAGAGGAGACTTACATCAGCAGAACAAGCTGCTCACAAAACACAAATAAACTTCTCCTTTCGATCAGGAAATGACTGATCGCTTCCTCACACTGAAATCCTGGGGCTCAAGACCCAAATGTGGGTTAAGCGATACTAAGTTATTTTGTGATTGTAATCTCTGCAAAATTGTATAATTAAACTTCTTCCTAAATAATCTTATGCATGGTTTTATTATGTACATTTGTCTCTTGTTTCAACCTGCTTTAGTACTCCATCTTAAACAATACATCTCCTGTTTTTTGGCCAGTAAACAGGGTCA